CAGAAAAAATGTGACCTTTTACATCAAGACATACAACAAAAAAAAGAGAAGTGTGAATTTCTAAGGATTGAAATGCAAAAGAAGAAAGAAGAAACAGACACACTGTTTGGTGAAATAAACAGGGAGAAAACCAGTGTTTATTATTTAAAACTGCAGCTACAAGAGCAAAAAACCAAATTTGACAGTGTGATTGACTCCATGGTTTTGAAACTGAAGCAGCAGCAGCTAAAGGATGAAAAGATCAGGAGAAATAGCCAAGAACTGCTAAACCAGCAGGAAATCATTTTGGTAGAAAGAAAAGACCTGGATCTCCTGAAAGAGGACATCAACGTGAAAAGAACTGAGATGGAAGCAGCTGTGAACGACCTCAGGGCAGAGAGAGAGCAGCTGAATCAGATCAAGGAAAATACAGAAAAGGAGAGAGGACTTCTAGAGAGTGGAAGGAAGAGACTGGAAGAAGGTTGGACTGAGTTCAAGAGACAAACACAAGAAATCCAGACGTACAGGACCAGAGTTTTGGAGCAGAAAGAGGAACTGGACAATTTCAGAAAGGACGTCATTTATAAGAAGGAAAAGTATGAATCTGCTTTGAGCAGCATGAGTGAAGACACAGAAAAACGTAATCAGGCGAGGATCTGTCTTGATATAGAGAGACAGCAACTCCAAAGTGAACGAGGTGAAGTGCAGGCGGTAACATCAGAGGTTAAAGTGAAAGAGGATCCACCCCTGAGACAAATACTGTCCATCAACACACTGTTTGGGAAATTGAAGGATTTCAGTGCAAAGACAAATATGGACTTAAGAGAGAAAATGAAGCATCTGGAGCAAAACAGCAAAACCACAAAGACGTTGTCCTCAGCATTAGAGCAAACGCTTGCCAACTTTGATTTACATAGAAATACAATATTAGAGTCCACTGATCTGGTCCAAGGTGTAAGGACTGATCTAAGAGAGGTTTTGTCAGATATTGTTACAGAAAGGAAGACCTTGATCAGAGAGCGTAAGGAGGATTGTCGCCTGGAAAAACAACATTCGGACAAACTGAAAGCTGTGATCGAGAAACACATCCAACAACTGGGACAAGAACTAAGACGTTTGCAAATCACAAAGACTCAGTGGCAAGAGACGATAGAACATACACACAGGATGATGCAGGATGCGATTAACTTGGTGGTTTTGACACAGGCGGGACAAAAACAAAAGGATGAAGAAATCAAAAAACAAACTCAAGAACTACACGCCCTGAGGAACAATATTTTGGAGGAAAAGGAAGAAGCAGAAGTGATGAGAAAAGGATTTGAAGCTTCCTTGAACAGCCTCAAAGAGGAAGGTGAAAGGTTCAGTAGGATGAAGGCAGAATTTGAACAAGACAGAGAAATGCTGTTGAAGGAAAAGAACAGAATGAGGGGACAATGGTCTGAGCTCAGAACAAAAGAAAATAGAATCGTCGCTGTGATGACATCATTAAACACTTTCAAAATTAGACTGCAGCAGGAAAATGAAAGGCTGAGTGCAGCAATGAAAAACAGCATCACAAGACTGGAAGAAAACAAGAACAAGATACAGCGCACGGTCAGTGTTGTGGACCTTAGTCAAGAGGTAGTGAATGTACACCAAGCTACATTAGCCTTTTACCATGAGGAACTTGCAAAAGAAATGGAAAGTTTGAGAAATGTTTTTTCAGAAATTGCCAGACAAAGAGAGGATATGGAAAAACACGCTGTGTCGGAAAAGAGAAATCTAGAAAAAGTACAAGCAGAGTTGGACGAAAAGAGAGAAGATCTGACTAGAACCAGTGAAACAGTGAAGCAGGAAAAACAGAGCTGGGGTCAGATGAAGTCTGACATCCAAAAACAAAGTGAACTATTATTCCGTAATGTAAAGGATTTAAGAAAGAAGCTGGAAATCATGAAGGGAGAGATGGAAAATAATCTAAATGTTTCCGTCAAACTGTCTGACCAGATGAAGAGAGAAAAATCAAACCTAGAAGAATTTAAACTTCAGATTCAGGATAAAAGAAAAATATTTTATAATGTGACTGAGAGGCTGGTATTGAAACAGAAAGAGCAAGAGCTAAAGGATGACGAGATCCAAAAAATAACTCGAGACTTGGAAACTAAGCAGAAATTAATTGGTGATGTAGACACGAGAAGAACTGAGGCCGAAGCTGCTCTGGATGACCTCAGAGTGGAGAAGGAACGCTGGCGTCGGATAAAGGCAACCATAAACGAGGAGAGAGAAATACTCAAGAATAAGAAGAACGAGATAGAAGAACAGTGGACTGAAATCAAAAGGCAAAGTGAAGAAATTCAAACTCACAAGAACACTGTTCTGGCAGAAAAAGGAGAATTGAAAATTCTGAGAAATGTTGTTCGTCATAGGAAAGAGCAGTTAGAATATGCTCTGAGTAACATCACTGGAGAAAGGGAAAAACTTCATCAGGAGAAGACTAGTCTTAAAATAACAAAACAACGACTTGAGGCAGAAAGAGGTGAAGTGCAGGAGGAATTGTCCAGTGTTAGAGACAGAGAGGATCAGCTGAAGAGGAAAATGCTGTCCATCCAAACTCTAACTGCAAAACTGAAGGAACGTGGAGACATGGAAGAAAAAGCAGAGCGATTGGAGCAAAGGAGCAAAGAAACGCACAAACTGTCTTTTGACCTGGAGCAGAACATTGCCAATTTTGATTTACAGAGAAACCAGACATGGGTTTATAAGAACATTGTCCAGATTAAAACGTCTGAGCTCAAAGATTTGATGTCAGAAATAATGAAACAGAAAAGGGACAGGGAATATCAACGGATGGCAGATCTTCAGCTGGGAAAACATCTGAACAGGCTCCAAACAGAGCTGAATGTTGACAGAGGAGAACTGAATGAGACAGTGAACAGAAGCAAGGTGATGATGTCTGTCATGGAGCAACAAACAGAACTGCTAGACCGAGGCCTGAGAGGTCTGCAGGTTATAAAGAGTGAGCTCCAAAAGACACAAGTACATGCAGGTACTTTATCTGTTGAGATTGACAGACAGAAATCCAGCATCAAGAGTCTGAACCTTCAGATTCAGAACTTTAAAAACAAACTTCTGGTTGTGATTGACTCAGTAGGTTTGAAACAGAAAGAAGAAGAACTGAAGGATGAGGAGATCAGGAGGCAAACTGAAGAACGTCAGTCTCTGGAGAACAAAGTTTCTGAACAGGCTGGAGAACTGGACCTTTTGAAAAGGGAAAGATTGTTGATGAAATGTTTTATGAAGCAACAAACAGAACTATTAGATCAGGAAAAAAGAGGTTTGCAAGTCACAAACGTTGAGTTACACAACACACGAGAACATGCAGAACATCTGTTTAATGAGATTGAGAGACAGAAATCCATCATGACAGACTTAAACCTTGAAATTCAGTCACAGAAAAATAAACTCCAGGGTGTGATTTACTCAAAACAGAAAGAAGAAGAACTGAAGGATGAGGAGATCAGGAGGCAAACTGAAGAACTTCAGTCGGTGAAGAACAAAGTTTCTGAACAGGCTGGAGAACTGGACATTTTGAAAAGGGAAAGATTGTTGATGAATTCTGTCACCAGCCAACAGACACAACTATTAGAACAGAGACGAGGTGATGTGCAAGTCACTAAGGCAGAGGTGCAAAAGACACAAGAACATGTGGGACATCTGTTTGATGAGATTGACAGACACAAATCCGACCTTAAAGATCTGAACTTTCTGGTTCAGTCACACAGAAAGAAACTTCAGGAGGCCATTTACTCTGTTGGTCTGAGACAGAGAGAACAAGAAGTAAAGGATGACGAGATAAGATGGGAAAAAGAGGAACTACAAAGACAGAAGATGAGTGTTTGGTCAGACAGAGAAGAGCTGGACAGTAAGAGACATTGGATAGAAAGAAAAAAGGACGAGCTGAGTCTAATGAATGCAGAACTCGAACAAGAAAGGGAATTACTAATGGACGAACGGAAGAGAATGGAAGGACAATGGTCTGGTTTGATGATAAAGGAAAATAAACTAAGGAATGAAAATGCCTCATTAGAAGCTTTTAGAACAAGACTGACGGAGCAAAATCAAAAGATAAAAGAAGACCTGGAAAACAAAACAGCCAGAATAAAACATAGCCAGGACAGTGCAGTGAAGATAGTCAGTGTTCTGGAGCAAAGTCAAAAGGCTCTGGGTGAACACAGAGTAACAATGACATCATGCACTGACACACTTGAAAAGGAGAGACATGGTTTAAGGAAAATGTTGTCTGAAATTGTCAGACAGAGACAGGACACAGATCATCAGCTGAATTCAGAGACTGTGTTCAACAAGGCACGTCAGGAGGTAAAGGCTGAAAAAAGGGAGACCACAGAGGACATGAGGGAAATGGTGATCAAAGCAAAACAGGTCTTGGATCAGAGGAGGTCAGACATCCAGAGACAATGTGACTGTCTTAAATTTGGTATAAAAAGGGAAAAGAAAAATATGGAAACCATAAGGACTGAAATACAAAAGAAAAAGGAAGACACCGACACACTGCTTGATATGGTAACTGCTCTGAAGATTTATATTCAGGAACAAAAGAGCAACATCAACAAATCGATGAGCTCATTTGTCTTAAAACAAAAAGAGCAAGAACTAAGAGAAGATGAGATTCAGAGAAAAACTGAGCAGCTACAAAGACAGAAGGAGACCATTAGGAAAGAAAGAGAAGAACTTGACGTCATGAGAAAGGATCTCAATGAGAGGAACAAAGACCTGGACGGTGTGAATCAGATGCTGCAGTTGCTTTGGCCTGGTATCACAGTGACATCGAAGAGCTTAGCACAAGATGTTCAAGAGAAAACAGGGAGTTTCCGAATCAAAAATGTTGAACTGATAAATAAGATGAGGAATACTGACGTTCTACTTGATAAGATCCAACAAACCAAAATAAAAATGGAAGATCTGTCCGTCCGTTTTCAGGCAGAAAGTTGCCGGTTTAAAAACGCATTGCAAACATTTGCACAGAAACAGCAACAGACCCAAATTGCAGAAGTGGAGTTCACCAAGAGGAGTGAGGTGGAGCTACATGACCCAGACGCTGGAAAACAGAAGGACATCATCAGCAAAGAGAGTCACCATTTCTTAAAGCTTGATACATTAGAAGAGAAAGAAACGCTTGGAAGTGAAACGGGCCGAGAAGATTCAATGACTGAGGAAGAAACCAAAACAGGTAGAGTAGAAGGAAAACTCAAAGAGCTTGAAGCGCGGATGAGGGGAAACATAAGCCATCGATTAAATATGTTGGAACAGAGCAAAACATCCATTCAGAGGTGGTGCAGTATACTGGAACAAAAGACCAAAGAATTTCAGAGACAGAAAGAACAAATTGCTTGTTGCACGGAGCTGCTAGGGAGAGAAAAGGAAGGTCTGATGAGTGTGCTGACAGATATGGTCCAACGCAGAGAAAAGCTGAAAAGTCAACAGACACGACTTGAACAAATGAAGGCAGATCTGAAACGAGAGAGAGATGATCTGGGTGAAGCAAATACTTTGATTAAAGAAGAGAAAATCAAGTTAAAACTGGTCAAATCCGACAACATGAAGGAAACGGAACGAATAGAACAAGATAAAATTCACCTACAAGAGGAAAAGGACAAGCTTGAAGCAGCTGTGATGGAGGTTCAAATGAAACATCAACGTGTTGACAGTCTTTATCATGACATGAACCAAGAAAAGCAAAAATTGCAGGAAATGAAAATTAATCTTGAAAAAGTCAGGGATGGATCTGAGAGTCATCTGTCCAAAGTTCTTAGCACCATGATGGATGTCCGAGCAAAACTGAAAGTATTGAATCGAAGAACAAGCGACTTTAATATGATGGTGAATAACATGGAGCACAAATGTAAAGATGTGGTTCGTATGATTTCAGAGTTGGAACTCAAGTGTACTGACTTTGATTCACATAAAAATGTGATCGCTGGATTTTATGAACATATGATAAATAAGAAATCACAGGCTGTGACACGTGAGCAGGCAGTTCAAACAGAAGATGTTCCACGAGAACGTCCATCAGAGGGCGATGTCACCAGGCAGGCCATAAATAAAGACACACTGACAAAGGATGACCACAAGGATATGCAGGTGCATTCCCTTCAACTGGAAAATGTTGCCATAGTAACAGAGGATGTGGACAATAAAACAGGACACAGATATCCTACACGGTCGATGGGAGAGCAACGTGACAATGCAACAAACGTTATGTCAAAGAGAGAGACTCTGAGGCAGATCTGGAAGGACACTAAGAAAGAGCGGAAGGAGATTGATCGTATGATGGACAGAGGTCAAGAAATGAAAAACAATTTGGAAAAAAGACTTGAGGTGATCAATAGGTTTGTTAAAAGAACATGGTTACAGAAAGATAAGGAACCACAAAAGACAAAGGTGGAACGAGGATCAGTTCAGAGCACACCATCAACCAGCTACCAGGAGAGATGTCCCCAACTGATTGATGAAAAATATGCAGAACTTCAGCAGCTGAAGGTTGAGATGCTCAGGAATATTGAGAAACTCCACATCAGAGAGACAGAAAGGATGAGCGACAAAGCCAATCAGACATCACAAGTGGATTTAACCTCAGAGCACTGGGCAGGATGGACAGATCAACCAGCCTCTCATGAGCAAACTGTGACAGCGTCAGAAGCTCCGGGCAGACTCCTGAGTCAGCTCTGCCATTACTGCAGCCGCTGCTGCTGCTCCTGCTGTGCCTGTTGTAAACAAGTTTGTTCGGAGGAGCAATGAAACCAGGAACAAATGATCAGTGATCCATTGAAATGATTGAATCCATAAGGTCTTTTCTCTAAGCAGTGTACTTGTAAGACAGAAATGCAGTCCTTACGCATCTGTGACTAAAACTTCAAGTTAACATGGTATCAATATAAACCAATGTGACCCAGGGTTAAGAATTTAACTAGAGAGTAACATGATTTGAATATTATATTTTTTTTGTCCAGTGTTAATTCTTCTTAAAAATATATCTTAATTAGTTATCTTATTTGTAAAGTTATCTTAAAGTAAAACAGAGAAACATTACTTTTGGCTCTTTGTAAAAACTGTTTTTTAAAATGTTTTTTTTAAAATGCATTTAAAAACAAAATAGAAATGTCCAATGTTTAAAACCTTTTTTCCTGCCAGTTACAGTCTCCTACATCGAAACACCGTTTTCTGCATATTAAACACTCTCCTAATAAACAGGAATAAACTTAGTCAGTTAAAACAAAACATTCTAATATATAATATTTTAATGTATTAGATCAGTGGTTCTCAAACCAATAGGCTGCCCAACTTTATATTTCATTAAACAGTATCTTTGGATTTTATAACATAAATTGGCATCATAACAAAAACATCTGTGTGCGTTTTGTTACTGTTATTATACAGCAACACAAAGTTTAACAACTAAACATATCGTAGTAGGAAAACTGATTTGAATTGTCAACCAAGCTGACACCTGCTGGACAAAGCTGTGCAATGTCTTTCCTCGCCACCAACTGCTCAGTTGTTTAAACAAAAAAAATAGGAAACAAACACCAAGAAGTGACATGCACCTGATGCAAGGTTTCAGGGATTTTTTTTTAGCAGTAAGTAAATCCAAGAGTTAAAAGGAAAACAATAACTTTGTGTTGAAGACTTCCTTTAGGCAACTGGACATAAAATTTTCACTCAATAGAGGAGGTGGGCTAATACACAATCTATCACCCACAAAGTGAAACCATTCTGCTGAGGATTACAACGGCCATCAGACTCCTAACGACTGTTAACACCTCCCCAGATGACCCCAACAGGAGGGACCTGTAGTAGTTTTATTTTTTGTCACACCTTTTTTTATTTAAAATGATGAATCCTGACCAAACAACAGAAAAACGTAAAAAGTCTTTTAGTTCAGCATCTCATACAGCCAACACTTATTAGTACAGTAAAGATATTTTTACCTGCTGGAACTCCCAAGGGATTCAGAAAGTTCCATCTATCACATGCATTTTCTATTCACCCACAGTTCCAGGATGACTGACAAAAAAAAACAAAACAATAGTAAAACTGACAATTAAGTATTTGAATAACAGAAAAACTTGAAATGGTAATGCAACTGAAATCGATGAAATCTGATGCGAATACTGAAACAGAGGGCGCCTTCCTGTGGACAATTCGAGTCCCTACAACTGTCCTAAGTTAGTCTTACTTGGTACAATAACTGTCAGACAATCACAATGTTACAATTATTATGCTTTTATTGGTTCCACAACACTGTGCAGTTGCATGATAACATAACCTTTAATGTCATAACATTGTTGCAGTACGCCAGTCTTCCCTTGTTTATTGCGTTTATTGTTTGAGTTCACCTTCACTTTAGTTATATTTTCTGGTGCTACACAGGAAATACATCGCTATTTATTAGTGATATCAACTTATGACATCACTGGTGAAGACACGGCAGCATACCAAGCTAAATGACATCAAAGGATACAATCACAGGCGACGCACCGCACAGCTCCCGTGTGTCCATTGAAGGTACCGAGTACCACACGTTGGCCACCTGTGTGGGGAGACATTGTTGGAAGATAATATTAAAAGGCTTCAATGCAATTATGGCTTCACTTCACAAATTATCGGTTTGCCCTACATTACTGGTGCCACCAATAACCTCAGGAAGAAATCCATGTTGCACTAGTTTAAAATTAAATTAGCAAGTTAATTTCATGTTTTCAAATAGGTGCATCAGCCCAGCTCAAACTCCTGTCAAAGACCAATTTCGTATTTACCACGACAACTCCATGTTCATTATTTAGCACGAAAAACTAACTACGAATCATTTTAACTTCTGGCAGAAGCTAACGTTAGCTGCCGAGACACATATGCTAGCGTAAATTGCACTAAATTGCACGACCGAACGACTACAATTACAAACAAGATACAACCGACAATTTTTGTTTTCAAAAACCCACCATTTCAATCAATCACGTGTAGCCACCGTGCCCATTTTTTTTATTTGAACACCCGCTGGAAGCCCAAACGGAAATCCTCGTGTTAGCAAACCGGAAATAAGGACTGTACAACGTATTTCTATTTCCGTTATTCAAACGTTCCAATATCAGCCCGCCCCCTACAGTTGACCGCTGACACTCACATTCTTTTCTTTTTTTTTTTTTTTTTTTTGAGTTGGTTTAGTCTCTTAGAACTAGAAGGGGGGTTTAGCAGTAAGACCTAAAGCCAGAGATTCTCTTACCTTAGCTGAACGTAGAAGTCCATCAGTCCATTACTGTAGAAAAGCTCATGGCAGGAATTAATGCTTACAAAAATAACTTTTTGAAATATACACATACATTTGCATATGAATCTGTGGCTGTGCATAGAACAACAATACATTAAACAGAGTCGGCTGCAGTAAGGCTATAAATATTCATTATGATTACCATTCAAAAGAATGAATCATCTGTAGAGTCTTAGTGTGGATTGTTAGGTTAACAGTAGAGGAAACAAAAGCTGGGGATCAATGGAGGCAGATGAAGGGAACAGCTATATATATATGTGAAAAAAAAACTGAAAAAGGGCCATTTGTAGTTTTTTATTTAAAATGAATGAATCCTGACCAAAACAACAGAAAAACGTAAAAACGTCTTTTAGTTCAGCATCTCTACATCCAATACTTATTAGTACAGTAAAGGTAATAAAGATCAGTGTTTTAAAACTACAATCATTGTTTTTTTAAGGTGACATTTAGGATTTACAAGCACACATTTTTACAAGTGAGCCACAGATCAGGGAACACAAACACAGACAAAAATAAAACAAACACAGACAAAGTTCCAGGATGACTGACAAAAAAAAGAAAAGAAAAACTGACAATCAAGTATTTGAATAAAAGAAAAACTTGAAATGGTAATGCAACTGAAACTGATGAAAACTGATGAGGATACTGAATCAAAGGGCACTTTCCTGTGGACAATTCGAGTCACTACAGGTGTCCTTCTAATGGTATTTTATGGTTGATAGAGCCTTACGACACACCTGGTGTTATAGAACACACCAAACCGTCGATTCATTGTTCGGACAGTGAATTGATTTCAAATTCTTATCAGCTGTGTTATCTGAGCTAAAGTGTTTTACACTTAGTTTGACTCGCTTTACTAATGGCAAAAGACTTCTCCTTATGACTGAGCACCCAGAGCACTCACCACCCTATTCCATTAACCCATTCACTTCCTCTCACTCACATTCATATATTAAATGGATCACAACACACGTTCTATTCACATTCAACACACTGTCAGCAGCTTGGAGCAGAGTGTTGAGCCCAGGGATACATCTGCATGGAAACTAGTGATGGCAAGTACAATAGCTCATCAGCTATAGGATACAATTAATCTGCCATACAACAGATTAGTACATCATGTCTACAATTGTGTTTCCCATTTGGATCTCACTTTCCTGAACATGTGAACATTGTTGTACAGTAATATGCTGCTACAAACAGTAGCTTCACATCACCCTGAGACATACCCAGCTAACAGTGAATGAATGGCTGGCTGCAGCCTGTCCAGGTAATACCCAAGGATCACAAGGGCAAGTACTGCAGCAGAAAATGCACAGCTACAAACAATGTAAAGCCTTCATTACATTTCTCTCTACTCTGCATATTTATATTTATTTAAAAAGAGAGCATCGACCAACACAAGAGAAAAAAATAAAACAGACTGTGAACCTGTGACCTTCCTGCCACTAAAGTAGTCCTTTATTGCTGTACTTTCTTGAACAGATTGACAGCTGTGTTCCCTATTTTTAGCCTTTACTTCGCTGTGCTCATTGTTCACCCTCTCCACAGTTATTCAACAATTTTCTCTCCTGTTGTGTAAGTGAAGCTGCTGACTCACTTTTACTTCGTGTCGCACAAAAGAGACGAGCATTCGACATTAAAGTGTTACATTATTCAGCGCATCAACATAAAAAAGTGTGGTGAGACAAAGCCCGGTTCTTCACCGTCACCAGTCATTGTGTGATTGAATCTGAGTTTCAGTCAGACTGCTGATTAGCGTTTTTCGAGGTTGCCGTTGCTGTTATCTTTGCATATTAAAAGTCATGCTCCTCCTATGAGCATCTTATCACTCATTTGTCACAGTAGTGTTGAATGTTTGAAGAAATCTGGCCTTTTTTAAATAGTATAAAGTCATGTAGGAATCCATGTTGGACTCTCTGCTTTCATGACAGGTTTTTCTCACATTAATCGCCTCTTTTGACCACAAGTTTGATGAGATTTATAACTGATTTAGTTTTTATATTCCTTAAAAGTATCGTCAATCGACAAGACGGCAGTGAAGATTTGCAAATAATTTGCCAGTTTCTCCATATTTCAGAATAAACAGTGTAATATTCTATAGTTGACTGAAGCTCTATTCTGAAAAATGGAGCTGAAGCAGTTATCCAACGCTAAAAAGCTGTCAGTTTGTGTACATGTGAAATTCCATACTTATATATATGTACTGTACATATAGAGTCTCTTAAAGCAAAAGTCTGATACAAGTCTCCACAGCAGACCTGAGTGAAAATTAAAACGGTACATCATACATGTTGTTTCTTTTTATTCATTATTTGGTTGTTTTTATTGTATTATGTCATGAAAGAAAAAAAAAGCAATGAGAAAAAAGAGCTGTAAAAGAAAAACACGGATACGTGGAGGACAGGCATTTACCTGGCATGAGTGAGGATCTGTCTGCTATAAATAAAGTGTTTACCACAGACAGATCTCCAGGTTCTGAGTGTCTTGCCAGTTCACTCCACAGTCTGGGCGCTAAAGGAGAAAGTCACTGTGTGTTGAGCTCTCTGGCAACATGGTGAGATCACTTAAATCCTTGTCTATTAGTGATGGTCTGAATCCCTGTTCAGGGACGGACCTGGGAAAAGACACAGAGGACATGAGGTCCAGAGGATCTCCGTCATGTTGTGTCGCCTCAGTGTTTGGTGAAGGTGCAAACAGAGGCGAGGGTGGTGATATCCCAGCATCAATCTTCTGTAGTGACACCACCTGCACTGTGCTGCTCAGTGTCTTAGTGGTTTTCATGTCATTGTCTTTTTCGTTCTCCTCCTCTCCGCTCTGTGGCTGGATGCTGCTCAGGGCTTTCAGCTGAGTGGGGTCAAGGTCGGGGTAAGAACCTGACTTGGACATGGCCTGCACTAGTTTATCCAGGCTTTCGGAGCCTCCGCCGCCCCTGCCCTGGGCCACCTGACACAGGAGGTTAGTGTGCTGTCGAAGCTGGGCGATTTCTCTCTCTGTGGTGGCGTTCTGCTTCAGCAGCTCCTTGGTGCGGAGCGTGATGGCCAGCAGCCCCGACTGGTTCAGGATCTCAGCTGTGTTGAGGAAACGACGCTGGCGTGCGGATGTGCTGTCTGGAGCCGGATGATATGGACTGTGAGTTGAGGAAGAGGAGGGAGACGACGAGGAGGGGGGAGAGGATGAAGATGATGAGGGGGAGTCCGAGGAAGAAGGAGGTGAGGGGGTCTGGGAGCTGGAGACGGAGGGTGAGCTCACACTCTCACAGCCTGAACTTTGCTTGCAGTGACGGGGCTTGTGCTGGGTGGTGGAGGAGGCGTGAGTGGGCTGAGGTCGGTGGGAGGAGAGAGAAAAGGACTTGTGACCTCCTCTTGTTTTGTGCTGGGATTGAGGATGAGCTTTGCCTTCTTTTGGAGCCTGCTGTGGTTTGAGGATTTGGCTGGTGGTGGACACCACCTCCCTCTTCTCCTCCTCAGTGCACACCCTCTTGCTTTGGCTCTGGCCCTCACTTCCCCCCTCCTTCGGTCCCTCTACCCACACAGTGGACTTGCTCTCATGACTCTCCTTCCTGGGATGGGGGGCTATGCGCGGGTAAGAATTGAGGATTGGCAGGTATGAGTTCTTGTTGCTGTGACTCTGGATGTTTGGACCGCTTCCTGTCTTCGATTGACCTTTGGGTGCAGCTTGAGTGGATGAGAGCGTTGCGGCGGAGGAGCCGGTCAGTGTGGGCTGTTGGATCAATAGGAGCTGGGTGGGGGCTTTAGCATTGTGCCAACCTGCGCCCCATGCTAGGGGCCCGTGTAGGAGCTGATCTGGTCGAGACTGTGACACCAGGAGGTTGTGGGCGGGGTTTTGTGTGAGAAGCAGGGAGAGAGCAGGACAAAGGAGACAGAGCAAAATGTGTGGAGGTTAAAGTCACAGAGAGATGAACAGCTGGACCAAAAGAGGAGTTTACCTCCTCAGACGACAAGACTTCCTCTAACTATCACTGCACAAAATAAAGTTACTTCTGACCTGTTGTCAAACACTGCATTTGAATGTGTTTCTCTGCACTGTCTATAATTACAAGACATTTTAATTATTTTAACATTAATAAAAATGCACACATTTTTTAATATTAAATTAACCTCTGGTAACCTGCCGATGAAAACCTTAGGCAGAGTCAACATGAATTTCATAGTGTAATTATAGTATATAAAGCTGCCGTCTAAAAATAGATGTAAATGAAATAGAATATAATGTCAAATTAGTTGATTAAAGTATTATATGATTAACAGAGTTTAATTAACAAGTGCTGTAATACTTGACTTAAACAGTACGTGACTCTTGTTTACTGTGCGTAAGTGAACATCTCACCGGCTTCACTACCAGGTTCTTGATGATGTAAAATGGTGCGACTTCACTGTACGCGGGCCTGTTGTGTCCTGCAGAATTCACATTGATGCTGTTGTTGTTGGAGCTTTTGTTGCTCTCCCTGTGAGGTTGACTGACGCTGCTGCGCTGGTCATCCACATCAGTGTGCACCGTGTCTGAGCCAGCCTCTGAGAGGGAGGAGGAGGAGGAGGAAACAGAGACAGGGGAGGAATGAGAACGGGGACAAAAAATGAAAAGCAAAAGCAAAAGCAATGAAATGAAACACAGCTTGAAAATTAAAAAAACAAAACAAGAAGTCAGCTTTGGTTGTTACAAGTACAAGTTTTTTAGCTTTTAATTAGGATGTCTCTTGTTCTTATAAACAGTCCCATATTTGGTCCTCGGCCAGACTGGAGGTGCCTGTAGGCACAGTTCAAAAGAAGCCACGGAGTCCCCTTAGAATTTTTAACTATGTTATGAAATATAAATAATATGACAAAACCTTCAGGGGCTTTACCATCTACCCAAAGTATGTATGGAAGTATCTATGCAGCTGTCAGCTCATCTTCATTTCAGTGATAATTTTAACATTTGAAAGCCCTCACCCGAGTATCCGGAGTCTTTTTCAGAGTCCTTCTCCGAGTGACAGCGCAGCATGCGGCTGTTCATGTCACCGAGTGCCGGTAGGTCCGTATGGGTGCCACCCTTGGACGCCCGCAGAGTGGCACTGTTACTCTTATCCTTGGCATTCTTTGAGGTGCTGCGGGCAGCACGCTCCCCGAAATGCCCCTGTTCCTTTGGCATTCAGGTTCTCTGAAAAGATAAAAGCAAACAATTTGTTTGACTTTCTACATTCATCAGGACACCAAGCTCAGACACCAAATATGTATGTATATATATATATATGGAATAGAAAAACTAGAGAGAAATAATACAGTTATATTCACCCTAAAATGGGACATTTAATTATTTTAAGTGAAGGTTGTAACATTACGTGACAAACTGAAGTGATGACAGACCACAGGGATCAGTGACATGTGACAACACGCAGAGACCTGTTCTGTTAGTTATGTCAGGTGTTCTGTGTCACCTTTTCACAGTGTGTGTGTGTGTGTTAACAGGGAGTGTTCATCACTCACAGTTCACTGTGAGACCATTTACTCATCCCCTCTGACTATAGAAGACACTATAAATTGTAGGATTTTTATTGTGTCTTTTGGCGGCTGTAGTGCATCTACAGCAAGGGTTTAAGGAACAGTACAATGGTCAACACTGAGACAAGAGCACTCTGATCTTTCCATTTCTATCGACAGATAGGGAACACGGGAACACAGAACATAGGAAATGCCTGATATCCTTCAATGTGCAATAGGTATTGAAATGAACAATCGTTCCAGTCTACGATTGTTCATATACTGTATGCTCCATATCCTGTCTGCTTCATGTGCTCTACACTTCCATAGTGTAGGAAGTAAGGCCAGTATCATGTCATCATAGTAAAACCTCATCACAGAACTGTTTGTTCTGCAGCCAGCAGAGTCACTAGTGTACATAAAAGTGGTTGGAGCATAGACTATATTTTGTAATCAGACGGCTTATCATATTACTACAACAATACATGTTTCGCTTCCTAGGAAAAAACCCAATATTCCCACAGGAACACAGAGATGTCTAATGATGAAGAGTTCAGTTGAACTTGTTATTATATCTTGAGAAGTTGAGAGAAAAAAAGCAAGTTCATACAAAAACCTTGTATATTTACTTTTTTAGAACTGCTGGGTTGACTTATGTTTAATCCAAATCGACCTTTGACCCTAAAGTTAGATACAAATCTAGGGACATAATAAGCTGTCAATTAAAAGGTAAAATAAGACTTCTCCTTTATTATTATTAAAGATGACACAGCTGATGATACACCACCCTCCAATGAGAGATGCTCATTTCAAAAGTGCCTTAAATGATGAGTCCTTACCTTTGAAAACAAAGTGCAACACAGTCAAAGAGTGCAAGAAAGGATTCAATCAATTTGATACTTTAAGTTAATTAAAGGTATAAGTGTGTGTGAATGGTTGTTTGTGTCTATATGTGGCAACAGACTGGCAAACTGTCCAGGGAGTGACTCCGCCCTAACCTGATGACTACTGGGAATGGATCAAGTCACCCAAGGACCAATAAAAAGGAAGGAGTGAATGCAACTGTTTCTAAGCTAAATAAAGTCACGCCATTTAATGGAAAAGTCTGTCTCCTCATTGTCTTCCTACGGTCATTTCAAATTCCCCTTCATCCTGCTACCAGGGTTTGTTGTAGGTAAATGTCAGCCTGCCTACTCATGTGTCCTTGTGTAAACAATCACATGTGGACGAGGCAGCAGACTCTGCAGGAGGAACTCTATAAAAGAAAAGTCCCTGGAGCCTCACTACTGTACAGTCCAACCCCCAACGCTGTTATGTAATACTCTGAGAAACTGCCAGAGCTCAGTGGAAAAACACACAGGAGTGCTGTAAATCCATTCACTTCCAGAATTCACAAATACTCCTTTGGAGTAATGTTAATAACAGAGAAAAGGCTGACATGCTGCATTCAATGGGACGAGACATCTCATTGTACTGGGCTGAACTAAACACTCACCTTTCAGTGTAGTTTCCAGAGTCTGAGAGGAGACACTTCAGTTGTGACAGAAAGCAAACACAGCATCTCTGCACCGAGGGAGGTCCAAAACTCCTCCACCTCCCGCTCCTCACACACACGCACCGACTTTGTGTCCCTGAAAAACGCTGACAACTGACGACATGACTGAAGCTGCGGGTCCGTCCCTGCTGCTGCAAAATCAGCTCCTGTGATCATGTGCTCAAGGCGTCCATGTCCATAGCGCTGCCCGGTCACGCCCCCGCTTACTGTGACGTAACCGAGACTGTCTGTCCAATCTCGTGCCTAGACACGTGTTTACAAGGTGACGTCGGACAGTCCGCGTGATAGATGCGTTCAAGGAAGAAGTGGTGTTAAACAAATGGTCGATAACAAGATATCAGAGGTGTTTAAAATATCTTGTTAATGATGTTTAACTCTATTAAAAATAAAATAAAAAATAAAAAACATTTATAGTTTATTTTTATCATATATTTAACATCTACATCAAGTTTTGTAGCAGTGACTGGACTTCAATAAGACAATAAGGGAATTTGCGAGGAGTACGTAAAGGCAGCATTGTTTTATAGGCCCTGCTGTGAACTCAGCACAGATATGTTAAGTCTCTGATGACACACTGAGGTGACTGAGGCCACTGTCAGTTTAATTTAACGCAGTCTGCTGCACATGATGTTCATATGCTGCTAGGCTGCGATACAACAGAGATGACAAGCTGAATACATCAATGTATATTTTTAAAAAATCATATATTATTGTTATTGTGGACATTATTCAGTATAGTTGCTATGATTATTTGGCATTGTGGTCAACGTTAATATTATTATCTGGTGCTGCATTATGTCTTTTTGGCAGGTCAGGTATTGTCAGGTACCAAAAGAGGAACATGGGCACTTATTAGGAAGCCAGAAGAGGCTGAGAAGTACTTCAAAGTGGTGCCAGACAATTCAAAGAACACAGAGGTGGTGCTGCAGAATGAGCAGACTTACAGAGAGGTGTTTTAGGTAGGAAGGGACTACGTGAGTTGACCTTTTGGGGGCAGTTTGGGGTACATATGAACTACCACACCCTATAGACTGTCTCTCTCTCACACACATACACACACATTTTAGTTGTAAAAAAAAAAAAACAGGGGCAGATACTGGTTAACTTATTGGAAAATATTTTTGGATGGAAAAAAAAATCCCCACAAACAAACAGTCCCGAAGATATTGACCTGTTTGAGGGGGTAAAAGCCTGGCTTTTTAACACAAACATAACAGCGGCGTTGAGTGAGGCAGCTATTGTTCTGTGGGTATTCAGTAGGGCATGGATGTGTGTGGGGACATGTGAGACAGCGGGTGAAGGCGTGGTCACTTCTCAACAACGGCACATGTTCGTTTCTGTCAGAGCGTTGAAAACGCCGACTCTCACTGACACACAGAAACAGACATACTCGTGTCGGAGCAGAGCACATGGTGTAGCTCCGCGTCTGTCTGCAGCGACCGAGACACACACACACACAGGGCAAAGGACAGAGGGAGGGAGTTATGTAACATTGTCCTTGCCTAACACAACACACATGAGGTTTCAGCAGTGTGAGACAAATGCCTTCGGTTGTATTACACACACAGGAAAGCAGACAAGAGCAGACAGACAGACTGAGGACTGACAGATAGACAGACACAGACTGAGCAGACTTACATATATGCCATATTTCATTCTTAATAATAATAATCATAAATACCATGTGAATTTTGTTTAAAATAAAAACACATCCACCAGGGTATATTAAGACAGTAAAAAGGTGTATTGGATCATTGTCTTTGAGAATTACATTCATAAACAAATAGAAATGAAACTGTTTAATAGAATAATGTAACTGAAAAAAATACATTTATTTCGGTCAATCATTATGAAAATCCATAATTTGTGACAAGGGTAGAGGAAGGTCGGGGGGCTGGGAGGGGGGCAGTGGAGGACTCAAGGGTGATAAACAAGACAAAGAAAATAATAATAATAACGGAAATTTCAGAACAGCATCTGTGGTAGGAGGCTCCGTGAGCAGGTTTTTCTGCTCTTTCACGAGTGACTCAGCTGGACACCAGCATCGGTGCCTCACTGGCATTTCCATGTACAGTATAAAACCCAGCATGTCTGCACGCCTCTCGATTATCATTTCATGGTGCTAAGAACAAATTGGAAGATAACAAAACAAATAACCTCGCAAGGTTGTCCACATTGCACTAAAACACAAAAATCTTACAATGGACCATGTTCATGGTATACACAGCTCACTGCTATCACTGGATCAGCCCTTAAAGGGTTAAATTATATTTTGAGACATCTGTGAAGGTGGACTTTGACACAGGAGAAAGGTCCAGCATGGCAAGCATGAAATATCTACAGTTCTATATCCTACAAGCATAAGAGCAAAAATAGATGAGGAAAGAAAACTTTAAATATCAAGAAATGATGATGACATCACATATGAACATTTTGTGCTTAAATAAGCTGCTTAGCTTCTACTTATGTCTAAGGTTCCAGTTTCTTTACTCGAAAACAGTAAACAGAATCATTTTAGTTCATGGACAGTGGAATAAACAATGTTAAAAGTAAATAATAGTTGCAGCCCTAATGGACTGATATGGTGATAGATTACATTTTTGTCGTTAAAACAAAAGCAAAAAAAAAAGCCAAGGTATAGGATGCTGTACAACAGATGAGGTGGTGAAGTTAATTAAAATAAAAGTGGTCAAACGTCCGATCAGAAAGAAACGTAATAATAAGAAACTTTCAATCCAGGAAGCGGTCAGCTAAAATATGAACATGGGCCATCCAAACTTTTCTTTTTGCTTTTTAATCACTAAGTGCTTCGTGAGCCTCTTAAATCACATGGCTGCTGTGCATTCTGCTGATCGACAAGGATTGAGTGTGTCAAAATTAATAAAAAGAAAACCTTGTTTAAATAACATATACACCTTGTGTAATAAGGTATTCCCAATTCCCATTAATTGCAGTGTCGCATTGGACAGATGTGTAAAAGATCACAGTCTGAGGTGACAAACAAGTGATTTGTTTTCATTGCATTCAGTTTTAAAAAAAAGGTCAGCATGTTTCGGCCACCCGTCGCACTTCACTCTGCGCAAGCTTTTCTCCGTGAAGACACTTTGATCGCATAGTTTTTCGTTCATCCATTGTTCCTGATTTACGTCAGACAAGCGTCATATTAAACACACACACACACTGTTTGGATCTGATGTCCTGCCCCCCCCCTTTTTCTGAAAAACAAAGAGGAGAAAACACAAACAAACAAACAGAGGAAAACATTTCACACACACACACACTCAAACACACCATAGAGGAAAATCTGCAAACAAACCGACATGCTTCTTCACGACTTATTAGCGGTGGTAGGCGCTTGTTTTGAAGAAGTGCACTTGGAAGAATCATCACCGCGTGGCTTCTCGTCAAACCGGAGATTTTCACGATGGATGATGTTTACAGTCCGGTAAAGCAGCAGCAGGCGTCTGTAGGCTGTCTGAAGGCGCTACACACAGAGTCCCGGGTGTGTGGTTGAGTTGTGCTGATGACTACATGAGGTACTGAAGTCCAGTTTGATACAGTGCAGCCAGAGTGGCCAGGCGTTGTCTATGCTGTGGTTGAGAAAGGGATTGATACACAGTGATGTGGCCACCAGCTGAGGCACTTCCATGCTGTAGGAGCCAGAGTTCAGGCCCTTTTATAGCTGTTGGGGGGTGTGGCCAAGGCTTCTCGTGTCTTTGTATGCGTTTCTGTGTGTATGTCTGTGTTTGTGAGTGAAAGTGTGTGTGAGTGTATGTGTGTATGTGTGTGTGTGTGTGTGATGTCAGAAATGCTGTCACTCTCTAATGCTGGCAGAGTAAGAGAACTGGGGGAAATGTGCTTGCTGCGTGGGATCCTCACAGTCCAGACTGGTATCTGTAAGAAGGACACAAGTCTGGTCACTTTACAGCAGTGTTTCCCAAACTTTTTTTCTGGGGGCCCATATTTTAAAAGTCATAAACCTTCACAACCCAAGTCAACAGACATAGACAACCCCCCCCAAAAATCTCTTAAGACCCACCTGAGGGTCGCGACCCAGTCTTTGGGAAACAATGCTTTACAGGAAGAACTCTAACACTGAATCAGTGAAATCACAACATCCCACAACTTCACCCAGCAGTGCCAATATAGAACGTGATGATATTTGAGATCTTAACATGTCATACTCTACAGAATCACACAAAAACTAAAAACTTATATGCAGTCGATTCTTTTCCTTTAATTACTTTCTTTCAATAATTTGGACCAGTGACAGACAGAACCAAACCTGAATAGCTCTTACATTTATCTGGAGGAGTGAGCGTGATGGTCTGCGCCGTGAACTCTTCATCAAAGTACCGGGTGTCTGTCTCCGATGTCACTTGTGGTCTGAAGAGTGGGGTGAGCTAAACCAGAAGAAGGGAAGAAAAATCATTCAACTGAAAATTGATTTTTGAACAGTTGCATGTAAACCGGACGGGGAGTACATCTAAAGACTAATTGTTTTTTAAGATGTTTGCCTTTTACTGTAAGTCATGAATGTGATTTAATAAGCTCATCTCATAAAAAGTCAAATAATACCAGATTCTTCAGTTACCGGTTTGTATCTGGATTCATTTTCTTATTATTAGGCCTTGAACGTCATTGTCATTGTAGTCATACTTTGGAAAGATCTGAAGTATCTTGAAGGCAACTGTGTCAGACAGTGTTGTCTGAAGTGAGGAGAACAGTAGATGTTCATTATACATATGTACATTGTCTGAGCTCATTACCTCAAAATGAAACAAAATCATCAAAGAGTGTAAGAAACGATGACTGTTTATTTTGATGGAAACCAGACTCAGATAAGCAGAGCCACAAATTGTGTCTGGCATAAAACACCACACAGTTTCTCAGTTTTACTTCCTCTTGCTAAATAATCTCTTACCTTCTTCTGTACCACATCCTGCCAGATGATGTCGACGAAAAACTTGTGACTCATTACTTCTTTGGCATCATTGGGTCCTCCGCCTAACCTGTAAGGTCCAAACATCACCTTGTAAGGGAAACAGACACACAAGCACACAAAGATGCAGTACACACACTGACACACACCTCTGTTTGGGGTCTTTCTTCAGCAGGCCAGCCAGCAGGGACTTGGCCTCAGGCGACAGGTTCCTAGGGAAACGGATCTCCTCCATGAGGATGAGCTCAAACAAGCGCTCATGGTCTTGGTTGTAGAAGGGCAGACGTCCACACATCATCTCATACATGACCACACCCAGACCCCACCAGTCTACTGAACGGCCGTAGTCATTGTCTTCTAGGACCTGAGGGAGAAGGGGCGCAATTAAGAAAAATTAATGTGTTTTACTACTATCTCTTTGTCTTAGTTCGACATACACAACTGTAACATTGGTAAAGTTACTAGTAGTGGCTCATCCCTCTTTCAGATGACACTGTAGTGATAAAAGTGTGACTAAAACAATTAAATTCTTGATAGATACTGACTCTTTTGCCAGGCTGTTTGAATCCAAATTGTGACTTGTTTTTACTTGACAGCTGTGGTTTCCTGCAGCTCACCTCAGGTGCCAGGTATTCAGGAGTTCCACAGAAGGTTTTCATGGTTGCGTCAGGAGTGATGCCCTCCTTACAAAGGCCAAAGTCGGTGATCTTGATGTGACCGTCTTTGTCCAACATCAGATTTTCCAGCTGAGACGAAAATAAGAAAATATTAAGTAACAAATAAAAGTAACAAATCTGACCTGTGATATCTTAGGTATACAGTTTTCAGACAGTTTTCTGACCACTGTCAGACCAGGTTTAAGACAGTCTATAAAAATAAACGTCTAAATTAAAGATTCACCTTCAGATCCCGGTAAACGACGTCTCGTGAATGCAGGTACTCCAGAGCCGACACAATCTCCGCCCCGTAGAAGCGTGCCCGGTCTTCTGTGAAAACCCGCTCCCGTGACAGATGGAAGAAAAGCTGAAAGAGATGAGAGCAGGTGGAGTAAAACGCATGTGCGCAGCGAGCTGTTAACACCATGTGAATCAGTACATGCATACTAATTTAGGATGCGTGAATGCGAGGTCTCACCTCGCCTCCGTTGGCATACTCCATTACAAAACAGAGCCGGTCATTGGTTTGGAAAGCGTACTTGAGTGTCTGCAGTAAGAAAAGCAAAACACGTTAAAGGAGGTGAATCAAGAAGCTGAGTCTCTCGGGTCTGATGTTACCATATGTAAATGACAATCTATAATCATACATATTACACATACAAACATGCATCATTATATGCCTGAAACAATTTGATCTCACCGTGAGGAAGGGGTGTCGCGTGTTTTGTAAAACTCTGCTCTCTGTTACTGTGTGAGCCACCTCATCCTGCCAACAAACAACATTTGTTGTGACCACCAGAAGAAAGTCAACGTGAAGCGAAACGTGCATTCTATGTTGGTAGATGCTTATCTTGTAGTAAAGTCTGCATTTCCTACTAGTTATGATAAACCATGAACTCACCTTGGCAATAATGACCTCTTTGCGCAGTATTTTCATGGCATAATGAACTCCAGTGGACTTCTCTTTGACAAGAATCACCTTTCCAAATGTGCCCTTACCCAGCAGCTTCAGGTACTCAAAGTCGCTCATTGTCTGTAGGATGAGATAGACAGTAGATGTGTGGATTGGACTATTGGTCTGTGTAAAACAATTAAACCCATAGATGGAAAGGGACAAGGTCATAACCTATGATGATTAATTCCCCACAGTCCCAATTTTTTAAATAATAATCATAATATCAGCTTGCATTTGTACAACACTTCTCAGGATACAAAAGGAGCTTTACCTGAGCATGGGCAGGGGCTTAGGGATAAGGTAAAAAACATAACTCCTCTCACCACTTTGTTGCGACTCTTGGACATGGCCACCTCCATTTCCTCCAAGCTGCTTTCACTGGGTGAACCAAACACATCCATTGGTTCTTCGTCCTCCTGTTCTCGCATCTTCAGACTGTTAGCCACCGACTGGATAGCGCGCATCCACTCTTCTCTGTAAGGAACGAGTCATAGGAAGTCACATTATACTCAAAGGCACCAAAAAAAAAAAAAAGAAAATCATCAAGCACTGGGGGCAGCAGCCTGTTATGTCACATGGACATCACTCACGATGCCTTTTCATTCCCTGTGCTTGTAAACATAATCCTTTCTTTGCTTACCTTTCCTCATTGCTGTCCACGTGAAAGGTACGTTCAATAACAGTGGTCCACTGAAGGCAACGGATGACAAAGGTGTTGGGCCGGGGTCTTTCTGTCTTCATTAGCTGGCATTCTGAATCACATTGTAGGATGAGAGTCAAATAGAAAACCAATTAACAAAACGTTAAAAAGTTATAGCAGTGCCTAATATTGGGGGTGGGTTAAAAAAAACAATTAAATTCAATGGATTCAGGATTGATTTCATTTAGATTTTGCAATATCCATTCATAGGGCATGAGGACAATTTTTTCCCATGAACCCCAGGAGTCTCGTGCACAATGAAGCAGCAGCAGTTTTCGTCTGGGTGACTTTCACAAGCCTGCATACACAAAATGCCGACTGTGGGTAAAACTCTGCGTGTCACTGTGTGATTTGCATCGCTGCCCAATTTGCACGGTGCGTAAATGTGCTGCTATATCGTAACACAGTAAATTCACGTGGACAAACATCATTAAAGGTGAGTTGGAGGCTGTCGCTGGCTGATTTTTGTTTGTCTGCTGTTATTTATGCTGTTTACATAACGAGAGCAACCAACAGTACACAATGGAAATCTGTTTAAGAAATATTATTTATATATTTATATAGATATACTTTAAGTGTTGTAAGTATTATAATTACTTTTGCACTTTGCAAAAAACAATGCCTTAAAGCAATTTGCAGTGATGGAATGTTGTAGTTCAAGTGCACTTTCTCTTGTCCTACATCCCCAGGTAGACAAACCTGCCACAGAGAAGTTGTTGAGAGGTGGTGAAGTCTGGTCGTTAAGATCAGGCTTCTCCTTGTTGCCGATGAAGGAGCCGTCACTCTTCAGGATGAAATACCGGGCCCTCCATGTTTTAATGTACTCACCTGGTTTAGAAGGAGGTAAAATGTGAGTATGACCAATGTGCATTTTCAATATAGAACCTAAGCTGTGACAAACTTGTGGAGTTAATAATTCAGTCTTGGTCACATTTACCTCTTTTCTGGAGCCAGCCCTCTTTGACTACATTAACTTCATTCATGGTGAGAGCTGTGTTTCAGAGAGGGTCAGGAGAGTGGGAGGTTGGGGAGGGGAGCAGCGGACGTGTCGTTTGGGCCGGATGGAGTCTCAGTCACAGTTCAAATCCAAACAGCACCTGCTGAATAATACCAATGACACAAATGAAACATGATCGTCTTGACCGGCATAAGCAGAACAGCAAGAATGAATATGGCATGTTTAATTCAGTCTACAATACTTCCACACCAAATGGATTTCAATTTATTTAAAATAAAGTTAACTTAGCAGCAGTAGAGCTACAAATAAGACTCATCTTTATTAAGAGACTCTTCCTATGATAATCATTGAATGAGTGATAACAAATTGAAGTTGTTTTCAGAGTGAAGCTCTTGGTATGGTCTGGAATTTGGTGCTCACACATGAGTAATGCAGCAGGAGGTTGTCTGGATGAGATGTTTTCACAACAGCAGGAAAAAATCTGAAGCATCTAAGTATAGAGGAGGTGCTTCGTTTGAGAACGCAGCAATGCAAAAACTATGATTGCATTTTTATTGTTCAACGTTCACGGTTCATGATTTATTAGTCACTTAATACATTGCTGTAAATTATTCCAACGATATGAAATAAAATATTTGGCAACAATCAATGATTTATGTCATCAATTGCAACAGCTGGCAGAAAGAAGTAAACACTTTATGGCTGTTACATTTGCAACATTCAAAAACAGAGCAAACATACAGCAAACAGCAAATGTACAACTGGACGTCTTATTGTAATGCTACTGTATTTTTTTTCTTCTGCATCTAAGCAGTGACACACCAGCCAAACATCCAGAGTTACAGATTTTTCCTGTGATACCCATTTTTGGGCAAGGAAAAGTGTACTGATATCAATGACCTAGGTTCTGTGTATTTACAGGTAAATTACCTATACAGTATAATGATTCACATAGCCGCTCTGTTCAGCACAACTTTAACATTGCACCCACACCAGCACATTTCTTGTTGCCATGAAACATGTTCCAGTGCCTTTAATTCACTGATGTGGTAATATAACAATTTTAATAAACTTCCCTACTTTTTTCATAAACTCCCAGATAACAATAATTGACAAAATATTTTTAACTCACTTATTAAAATTAAATTTTAAATATAAAAGCTCTAGCATTAATTAATTACAGCACCGAATGATCTCACAGAGATGTTTGTTGCTGCGTCCGCGTCATATGGAGAACACATCTCCAAACCTATTCATGCACATCAAATGTAAAAGTGTTTATCTGCTAAGTTTAGCTGCACATGTGAAAAAGAAGTCACTCGTGTATGTACAGGGCTCACATTTCGTGTGGGCACACATGAAACGAACTGGAAAGCGGAGAAGAATTCAACATTTGGCTGACGGCGGCTCAAATTCCTGCCGATAATAAACACGTCTGCCGTCACCAGGATCGAGCAGTCACTCGGAATGCGGATTATTACTTCCGAAGTCTAAAGGCAGCAAATGTAGCAGAAAAAAATAACATAAAATAAAAATAAACTTTTTTTCTATCGTTTCCAGGAAGCGTGTGCATTTACCAGGAGTTTGTCGTGTGATCCGGTCATCGGGCAGCGAAAGCGAGTGGAAAAAAACAAGGCTAAATGTGCAGCTAATATCTTACAACGGCACTCACGTAGAATTTAGTGGTGACATGGATAAACCAAATAAACACAAATTACACATGTAAATTAAGTAACTTAGCCACATGTGGCTTATCAAGGCGAATGAGCGTATTATCCAACCTGCAAGTGCTATTCTTGCTGTTAGCTGCTGTGCTGTTTAAAGTTACTCGCTAACGACTGGACTTAGCCGTGTGCTAACAGCGATAGGTTAACTTTCAACCAGCCTTTCAAACAAACATCCATCATGAGACTATACATAGTTAGTATATAACTCCCCTGACGTCATCGGTGTAACTTACAATACATATACAGGCAATGATTTCTTAATTTCGAATACATGAACTTACAAAATAACTTTGCCTATTAGTTCTTATTACCACGTTTTTACGACTGTATTACACCTAAAATATATCCATGGTACTCTTTAATATACTTTTTGGGCAGTTTCTTGTAGTTACTAACCATATTTGAAAGTTGGAAATAACTATTTATTATGTGTAAACGTCTTACATTCGCGATCATATGTCTTCTAATGTTACTCATGCAGCCTTGCTAATAGCAAGACAATCAAAGAACAATTGTTTCTAATTGTGACTCATAACTCACTAAAATTTTACAAATCAGTAAAACTTCCAATTTTTACCGTTTAAAAGAAGAAGAAACACACATTCCACTGACTTTATCCCACGTTGTTCCAGTTTCAGAGCAGTTTTGACAGGCTGGATCCAGAGCGGGCCATACACCCAGGAAAACACCGTGGACTGTCTTCTTCTTCGTCAATGTTCTCAGCCGTCAAAATACACAGCATTGCCCTCTTCAGGCAAAGAGGCTCAAAGACATCCTCAAATTACCGTCCTATACCTCTGGTACTGTATATTACCTTTCTGAAACTCTTGCCTTTGAAAAAATGTTGAGAATTTTTCATACAATACATTTGACATTGCTTTTGATGACATCGGACAGCAACTAAAAAGGAACAAACCAAATTGGCATTGTTGAAAACAGACATAACCTAGGAAATATTGATATAAAATATTTATAACTTTATCAACTTTTGGTACAGTTTTTTGTTTTTGCATTTTTTGCCAACATGCATTTGTTTTTGCTGATGTGAAACACATTTCAAAGACCCTACTGTATGTCAATAACTACTTTAAATCCATTAAAAGTTTAAGTTAATACCATGTCAGGATAGAACTACTGTATGTCAATAACTACTTTAAATTTATTTATTAAATATTAAGTTAATACCATGTCAGGATAGATAATGTATAAGAGACATTAGTGTGGGTTTATAGGCTGAAAGAACTCTGAAATGAAATGTCATTGCATACCAAAAAATACAGGTGCAATATGTAAATAAAATATTTGCTCTAATCTATAATTTTTTTAGCTCAACTGTTGAAAACTAACTTCCATGCTTCATTGTACTGTAAGTGTGGTAATTGATATACATTCGGAAAAACTGCTCTTTAGCAAGTATGGCTTCATAGTGAGGCAGTTATGACACGACAATATGACTGTGCAAGACTGAAAAAGAAAATCAGGAAGAGAACACTCAAACGTTTACAGAACCTAAACTGTGAAAGAGTACCAATCATAGGTAATAGCAGCAGTATACTCAGTGAAAAGTGTAGTGTAAGAGGGCATTAAAAATAATTCCATTAAGAGACACATCTTCCTTAGATATACTTCACATAAACTTCGGACCTAAGCAATAAATGGCTCAAGATAAAGAACAAGAACGGCTTCGTTTTTTTAAACCTTCAAAACATCACCAAAAAGCACCAGCACACTTACCTTATATTGAGCAAAAACTTCCCAGTGGGAGAGGATTTATGCTTGAATTGTTATAATAAGTACAAAGTTCATGTGTCGGAAAGACTAAAATGCCTCCACCCCTCTAGTAGGTTTCGCACAAAACAACATGTTACAAAAATGGCATACAAAACTACAGGTTAAATTTATTTAACATGAAATATGTGTAGCAGTTATTTGAATTTTATAATTTTCTTATTACTTAAGTACTATGACTTGTTTCCTTGATACACGATTTTTTTACTTTCTTGAATTATTTTTGCAGTGTAGACGACCCAAAGGAAGAATGATCTGATTGAACACCGCTTCTTGTAGAGATATAGTTTGAACGTTTTCATAATTTTATGTTAGATAAGGATTTGCTGTGTTCACTACAATAATTCTGAATAACATTTTCACAGTTCAATTTGAGCATTGTTGCCTTGGTAGAAATAGCATCAGTGGAATTAATTCAAATTTGAATGGCAACAGTTCAATAACCTAGAAAGTAACTACAAAATGTTATGTTTCATAAAATATTAGTTGAAGCTGTAGGGGGAGAAATGTCCTATATAACTGTGTCTAATTAGCACAAGAGAGAAGTTGAGCCTGAGGACTATTGAAATGCAAATGAGGATGATTCATGTGTATGTGCCTTATACAGTCCACACTGGGTGCGTATATTGTACATACAATAGATATAGAATAGTTTGAAAGTATTTATATCAAAACAAACACACACACCTAATTCCACTATTTATTATGTTTAAGGCTAGTAAATATTCATACTTTAGTTTATATTTGAAAAATCCCCAATAGTTCAATATAGTTTAAAGCAATGAAAAACATCCACGTTTCTAACACTTTAGAAATTACCTGAGAAAATATTAGCAACATGAACGAAATCGGCTGATCTGCTTATTCGAACTAGTCGATTTTGACTTAAGCCAACTTTCTGTGCAACATGGTGTCAATCATGACTAATAGTAATCAATCCAGCAGAGACTTCAGGCCTCGTCAGCTGTGGGTTTTGCACTCTGTAGCTCCTTAGTCAATGCTGGAGGAGAGAAACAGGGACGTGTGAGAGAAACACACAAACATCTTCTGCCGTTAATTTGTTGCGATGCAAAAGTGGAGCCCACCTGTAATGATCTCCTCCTTTATTTTCTGAAGTTCTTTTCTAATTTCTTCAAGGATTTCCTGAAGAAAAAAAAAACATCAAACACACACACACACACACACACACACACTCAACTAAACAAGCTTGATATAAAAAACGATTTTATTAACAACCATCATTAATCATCATCATTTGTTAATTCATAACTAATAAAACAAACTCATCAGAACTACCAGCACGTCCAAATGAAGTTCTCCCTCAACCTGTACTATTTGCTTCTTTACATACTGTATTACAGTATTCTCTGTTTTCCTATGCTGTCTTCCACATTCTTCCCTGTGTCTCTTTGCCGAGGCAGATGGTCTATACGCTACACCAGTGGTTCTCAAACTTTTTACACTCTGTACCACCTGAGAAAACCTTGATCATGGTATGTTTCAGATGTATTTAATTGAAAATGTAAATGTGAAAATGTGAATTTTCCCCGTGTACCACTAGAGAGCGCTCGTGTACCACTGGTGGTACGCGTACCACAGTTTGAGACACTGCTCTACACAAACCCTCTGTACTCTTGACTTGACTGGAGTTACTGTAGCCTAAATTCTTAATGAGCTCAAAATAGAAAATGGGAACCAACCTGTTTTAATTGTTCCGTATTGACATCACTTCCTGTTCCCTCTGTGATTTTGTTCGACACCTTCATCCTAAAAGCAAAAAAGACCGTAGTTTAGCAGCAAACACACATTCTCTACACAGGAAGCTTCTCTGAGAGGGAGCTGAACACATGAAAGCAGCAGATACAACGGAAGAACTTTTATAAAACCATGTTGGCCGAGAGAGAGAGAGAGAGAGAGAGAGAGAGAGAAGATCTGCTCTGGTTTTAGAGAGCAGCCTGTACCCTGAGCCTAAACCAAGTTGTGTTTAAATAAAAGAAATGACTTCCTCATGACGTTAACCATTGGTATAAAGTTCCTCTGTAATTCAACCAGCAACAGACATCCACTTCTGCTTAAACCAGACTAACTTTCTGAAGCTCCTCCTCTGTAGCTTCTTCTTGTTTTATTCTCTCAAAGTCTCAAATTGTATCCACTTAAAATATTGGTTTAAAATAAAATATTATGGTGTTAAATTCAAAGTGTATCGCACAAGTTTATTTGCTGTTTTAAAATGTACTTTTTGTGTGAAAGGTTTTGAAGAGAGGGTGCACGTGCGTCAAAGTAAAGTAATGGATTGTGGTGTGATACCTGGACACTGGTGCAGTGGTTGCATTTTGGGACGGACAGTTGGGTGAACTGTGGGACGGGACTGTGTCTCTTTGAGGGTTGGACGATGATTTAGGTCTGTTTAAAAAAAAGAGAAATCATTAGGACAGGAAGATTAGGAGGAATCAGCATCAGTACAAACTGAATAATCCCAGTGACGGCCTACCTCGGCAGAGTGGCAAATTTTTCCCTGGGTTTTTCATTGATTTCTGTGGACAAATAAATGCTCTTACAATCAAAAGGTACAGTTCACTTAACAAAAATGGTTTCTCTTTGAATGTATAGTTTGTTCGTACACATTTTGTGAGCACTGTAAACTATACATAAGGTTACAAACTGTACATTCATGATGTGTAGGAAAAAATAGAGACAAATTGTATTCATTTTAGTTTAGTTTCATTTTACTGTTTAATTAAAAGAAAACAAAACACAAACCTGGGGTTTTTGGCGCTGCGCATTGAGACTCTTCCTGTAGACGTTTCACACATGCTAATGTTAATGTCTATAACACTTCAGTTTCATGTGTTATAATAAGCATACTAAAGAAAGAACACAGAGAGCCAGTATTAAATAGGCCATCTTGAGCCCACTCACGTTGCGAGGTTCTTCCTTCTTTGCGGCAGGACTGTTAGAAGCTTTTCTCCTATTTTGAAACAATTAAACAAGAGTCATTTAAATCTCTAAACATGACTTCCACAAGGGGCACTGTAACTGTAACAGTACCCATATGCTAGGGATAAACCGAAACAATTTGACTACCAGAGAGAACGTACAAATCAATAGCTGAAGGTCTATTAAAGTACTATTTTCTCATTAGTTTGTTTTCAACTCTATGCTTTTAAACACTTCCTGTAAACATTACACAACAGTACACACGTTTTCAGTTTCAGGTGTTATTATAAGAATACCCCAAAATAAACACAGATAGCAAGTATTACTAAGGTTAACTTGTAGAGTTGAGACTTACATTGTGAGATTTATTAAACAAATAATAAAAAACAAATTCTAATAAGGAACTCAAGAAAGAGAGATACACTGTTTAAATAATTTATGTACAGAATATGTAGGATCATATCTAAAGCAATATAAAAGTGTATGATATATAAAGAAACAATAGAAATTTGACTCTAGCTCTGTATAATGTAAAATCATTGATTATTATAAAGATTTTACCTTCTGGCCAGGATTGCACTCATTTCTCCCATTAGGTCACCACCTCCACCTCCACCTCCACTTGATGTCGCTGCTGGCTTGGGGGCTGGTGGACCGTCACTGTCATTCTTGACACAAAAAACACCTCCAGTTATAACAACACACATTAGAATCGTATTTTATTTGTGTCACCATTTACATTGTGTAACACAGGGCTAAGCTAGCTCAGTGCCGGGACCAACTGTTGAGAGTGATGAAATTTGTCTCTTTACACATGATGCGGTCAAGATAAATTATCATCATCATCATCATTATCTTCATCATCATCATCATCATCATCATCATCAAGAAGCTAACTCTTTTCCGTCCTCTGTTATGACTGTACAATCACCAATCAGACAAATACATACGTACACCTCACCTTTGCCTTACGCAGTTTGGCTCCGGCCAGAGCTGCAGCCAGGTCGTTTCCTCCAACTCCTCCACCTCCTGAGGGGGGAGGAGGAGGTGGTGGAGGTGGAATGCCGCCCCCAGTGGGTGGTGGAGGAGGTGCAGGTGGTCCACCTGAGGGGGGAGGGCCCGGAGGTGGAGGTGGTGCCGGTGGAGCAGGGGGTGCAGGAGGAGCAGTAGGAGCAGGAGGTGCAGGAGGTGCAGGAGGAGCGGGAGGGGCGGGAGGTGCAGGAGGAGCGGGAGGGGCGGGAGGTGCAGGAGGAGCGGGAGGGGCGGGAGGTGCAGGAGGAGCGGGAGGGGCGGGAGGTGCAGGAGGAGCGGGAGGGGCGGGAGGTGCAGGAGGAGCGGGAGGGGCGGGAGGTGCAGGAGGAGCGGGAGGGGCGGGAGGTGCAGGAGGAGCGGGAGGGGCGGGAGGTGCAGGAGGAGCGGGAGGGGCGGGAGGTGCAGGAGGAGCGGGAGGGGCGGGAGGTGCAGGAGGAGCGGGAGGGGCGGGAGGTGCAGGAGGAGCGGGAGGGGCGGGAGGTGCAGGAGGAGCGGGAGGGGCGGGAGGTGCAGGAGGAGCGGGAGGGGCGGGAGGTGCAGGAGGAGCGGGAGGGGCGGGAGGTGCAGGAGGAGCGGGAGGGGCGGGAGGTGCAGGAGGAGCGGGAGGGGCGGGAGGTGCAGGAGGAGCGGGAGGGGCGGGAGGTGCAGGAGGAGCGGGAGGGGCGGGAGGTGCAGGAGGAGCGGGAGGGGCGGGAGGTGCAGGAGGAGCGGGAGGGGCGGGAGGTGCAGGAGGAGCGGGAGGGGCGGGAGGTGCAGGAGGAGCGGGAGGGGCGGGAGGTGCAGGAGGAGCGGGAGGGGCGGGAGGTGCAGGAGGAGCGGGAGGGGCGGGAGGTGCAGGAGGAGCGGGAGGGGCGGGAGGTGCAGGAGGAGCGGGAGGGGCGGGAGGTGCAGGAGGAGCGGGAGGGGCGGGAGGTGCAGGAGGAGCGGGAGGGGCGGGAGGTGCAGGAGGAGCGGGAGGGGCGGGAGGTGCAGGAGGAGCGGGAGGGGCGGGAGGTGCAGGAGGAGCGGGAGGGGCGGGAGGTGCAGGAGGAGCGGGAGGGGCGGGAGGTGCAGGAGGAGCGGGAGGGGCGGGAGGTGCAGGAGGAGCGGGAGGGGCGGGAGGTGCAGGAGGAGCGGGAGGGGCGGGAGGTGCAGGAGGAGCGGGAGGGGCGGGAGGTGCAGGAGGAGCGGGAGGGGCGGGAGGTGCAGGAGGAGCGGGAGGGGCGGGAGGTGCAGGAGGAGCGGGAGGGGCGGGAGGTGCAGGAGGAGCGGGAGGGGCGGGAGGTGCAGGAGGAGCGGGAGGGGCGGGAGGTGCAGGAGGAGCGGGAGGGGCGGGAGGTGCAGGAGGAGCGGGAGGGGCGGGAGGTGCAGGAGGAGCGGGAGGGGCGGGAGGTGCAGGAGGAGCGGGAGGGGCGGGAGGTGCAGGAGGAGCGGGAGGGGCGGGAGGTGCAGGAGGAGCGGGAGGGGCGGGAGGTGCAGGAGGAGCGGGAGGGGCGGGAGGTGCAGGAGGAGCGGGAGGGGCGGGAGGTGCAGGAGGAGCGGGAGGGGCGGGAGGTGCAGGAGGAGCGGGAGGGGCGGGAGGTGCAGGAGGAGCGGGAGGGGCGGGAGGTGCAGGAGGAGCGGGAGGGGCGGGAGGTGCAGGAGGAGCGGGAGGGGCGGGAGGTGCAGGAGGAGCGGGAGGGGCGGGAGGTGCAGGAGGAGCGGGAGGGGCGGGAGGTGCAGGAGGAGCGGGAGGGGCGGGAGGTGCAGGAGGAGCGGGAGGGGCGGGAGGTGCAGGAGGAGCGGGAGGGGCGGGAGGTGCAGGAGGAGCGGGAGGGGCGGGAGGTGCAGGAGGAGCGGGAGGGGCGGGAGGTGCAGGAGGAGCGGGAGGGGCGGGAGGTGCAGGAGGAGCGGGAGGGGCGGGAGGTGCAGGAGGAGCGGGAGGGGCGGGAGGTGCAGGAGGAGCGGGAGGGGCGGGAGGTGCAGGAGGAGCGGGAGGGGCGGGAGGTGCAGGAGGAGCGGGAGGGGCGGGAGGTGCAGGAGGAGCGGGAGGGGCGGGAGGTGCAGGAGGAGCGGGAGGGGCGGGAGGTGCAGGAGGAGCGGGAGGGGCGGGAGGTGCAGGAGGAGCGGGAGGGGCGGGAGGTGCAGGAGGAGCGGGAGGGGCGGGAGGTGCAGGAGGAGCGGGAGGGGCGGGAGGTGCAGGAGGAGCGGGAGGGGCGGGAGGTGCAGGAGGAGCGGGAGGGGCGGGAGGTGCAGGAGGAGCGGGAGGGGCGGGAGGTGCAGGAGGAGCGGGAGGGGCGGGAGGTGCAGGAGGAGCGGGAGGGGCGGGAGGTGCAGGAGGAGCGGGAGGGGCGGGAGGTGCAGGAGGAGCGGGAGGGGCGGGAGGTGCAGGAGGAGCGGGAGGGGCGGGAGGTGCAGGAGGAGCGGGAGGGGCGGGAGGTGCAGGAGGAGCGGGAGGGGCGGGAGGTGCAGGAGGAGCGGGAGGGGCGGGAGGTGCAGGAGGAGCGGGAGGGGCGGGAGGTGCAGGAGGAGCGGGAGGGGCGGGAGGTGCAGGAGGAGCGGGAGGGGCGGGAGGTGCAGGAGGAGCGGGAGGGGCGGGAGGTGCAGGAGGAGCGGGAGGGGCGGGAGGTGCAGGAGGAGCGGGAGGGGCGGGAGGTGCAGGAGGAGCGGGAGGGGCGGGAGGTGCAGGAGGAGCGGGAGGGGCGGGAGGTGCAGGAGGAGCGGGAGGGGCGGGAGGTGCAGGAGGAGCGGGAGGGGCGGGAGGTGCAGGAGGAGCGGGAGGGGCGGGAGGTGCAGGAGGAGCGGGAGGGGCGGGAGGTGCAGGAGGAGCGGGAGGGGCGGGAGGTGCAGGAGGAGCGGGAGGGGCGGGAGGTGCAGGAGGAGCGGGAGGGGCGGGAGGTGCAGGAGGAGCGGGAGGGGCGGGAGGTGCAGGAGGAGCGGGAGGGGCGGGAGGTGCAGGAGGAGCGGGAGGGGCGGGAGGTGCAGGAGGAGCGGGAGGGGCGGGAGGTGCAGGAGGAGCGGGAGGGGCGGGAGGTGCAGGAGGAGCGGGAGGGGCGGGAGGTGCAGGAGGAGCGGGAGGGGCGGGAGGTGCAGGAGGAGCGGGAGGGGCGGGAGGTGCAGGAGGAGCGGGAGGGGCGGGAGGTGCAGGAGGAGCGGGAGGGGCGGGAGGTGCAGGAGGAGCGGGAGGGGCGGGAGGTGCAGGAGGAGCGGGAGGGGCGGGAGGTGCAGGAGGAGCGGGAGGGGCGGGAGGTGCAGGAGGAGCGGGAGGGGCGGGAGGTGCAGGAGGAGCGGGAGGGGCGGGAGGTGCAGGAGGAGCGGGAGGGGCGGGAGGTGCAGGAGGAGCGGGAGGGGCGGGAGGTGCAGGAGGAGCGGGAGGGGCGGGAGGTGCAGGAGGAGCGGGAGGGGCGGGAGGTGCAGGAGGAGCGGGAGGGGCGGGAGGTGCAGGAGGAGCGGGAGGGGCGGGAGGTGCAGGAGGTGCAGGAGGAGCGGGAGCTGGAGGAGCAGCAGGAGGAGGCGGAGGAGCAGCAGGAACAGCATCCGCCTGCTTCTCTCTCTCCAGACGCTCCTTCTCTCGCTGTTCCTCCAGTTTTTGCTGCTCCAGTCTGAGCAGTGACGGACAGAGGATTGGGAAAATATATTACTGAAATACCAGAAACACTGTTTTACCTGCAACCTGTTGGTAGTTATATATACTGTATACTATTCACTAACTAGGAAAATTGGTGAATCAGCCAAACTATGGAACACTGCTTATAGGAAAATCAATTATATTTACAAAAATATATTCTACCTTTTGCGGTTTTCCATTTCCTGTGCAGATGGTCCACTTGGAGCAGGGCCTGGGAAAATAATATAAAACAAATTCAAGAGTCACACTTTAAGTTTCCATTCCAAGTGGTTAAAGTCTGTACATACAGTATGTCTCTGCCTAACTGACTTCATTCCTCCGCCGGTCGTTACCTGCTGATGCACTGAGAGTTTCCAGGGCGTGCAGCATTGAGTTCGCAAAAAGAGCAGCGTCTTCCTTGCTGCCAAAGTTCATGCCCCACACCTGCCTGTGGTCCCTCCACTGATGGAAGTTTGGTGTGGCCTGGTTATACTTCATCCCTCTGACAATGGGGCAGTTGATCACCACCTGACAAAGGAGGAAGTGTACGGAAGTACAGTAAAAACGAGTTCACTGAATTCAAGTTAAAGCCCAAACGTGAGTTGATTCAAAGACACGACAGGGTCAGTAAATACAGAAAATAAAATGTGCTGTGAAATTACAGAGTTAATCTATCTGTTACTCTTTATATTGATTGTTTATCAAAGCTTTTGTTGAAATGCTCATTTTAAATATGATCTTGTGTGTGTGCACCTGCTGGTCGGCTGTTAGTTTGCGTCCCACCACTCTGTAGGTATTGGCTGCAGGGTTGTGATAAATCTGGACTCGGCTGAAGCTGGGGGCGTCCGACCCCACCGGCAGCCAGCGTTTGTTGGTGTCGTCGTACATCATGACCGTCGCCTTCACCTGACAGATACTGGACTCACTGGTGAACAGAGAAGTGGTTTGGAAACAATGAACCACAAAGACACACACACAAAAACTTCAACCGTGCTGAAGAGAAGTGAGCTGACTCGTGCAGCTTAGAACATGTGGGGGTTCATAGATCACGCAGGGATGTGGAGGTCAGGGGTTTGAACTCTTTAAGATGCTGATGTGAGATTTGTAGAGAGAGAGAGATAGGGAGTTTACTCTGAAAATATTTAAATATTTATTATATTTTGAGACATCCAGTCTGTGTGGCAGACTGTGTCGAACGGACCAATAAAATCAAAGAGAAAAATTTAATTTGTCTAGTGTATATTTGATTCTGCACTGATGTGACTTTAATTCAGCTACATGTTCCAAAGTATTTTGTTTGCAACAAATTTGACTTCCTTCTACAAGGTTTTGACCACTTCCTGTGCTCAGTGCATTGTTTCCATATAAGGTCTATGTTACAGTTCACCTGTCGATAAAGGGACAGTAACTGTTGTTTGTGACACTGAAACATAACTGTTGGAAGGGTGGGGTAACAGAGAACCATTCTAACTCAAATGTAGCTGTTAGCAATGAGGATGCAGTGACTTCATCCTGCTGCTTTTGTTACTAATACAGTTAGTCAATAGGTTAAATCCACCTTTTAAAATTATTCAATTGCCAAATAGACTTTTAAACAAACCAGATAAATAAGAAATGCTAGCTGTCAAAAAGAAGAAAAAAACCACTAGCTCCATGAACATATGTTTTACAGCTTTCACACAAGTCTTCACAACAAGGAACCCTGAAGAACGTTTTCCACGTTGAAGATTTCTCTCTGTTTGCAGGAGATGCCAACCCTGTATCTGTGAACACCTGCTGCCAACGCCACACAGCACAAAATCTAGTCAGTCAAAGAGCGTGTCAAAGTGTAGAAAGGAAGTGAGACGACCCTGCATGACTTCAGGTCTCCACCAAAGCACAAATGATCGGTTAGAAGTCACACTCACCCCATTTTTGACCCGTCGTCAGTGTCCAAAGTCAAACTTTCTCTACAGCCAGCTTTAGTTTCTTCTCCTCATCAACTTTTGTTTGCTCCTCTCTATCTACAGAATCGCACACGCTTTCATCCGTGTCTGCACTCCCTCACTGCTCTCACCCATGACAACGTTTAAATCCAACTTGCACTTCTGCCTTTTTCTCATTTCCTAGGTTGTGTTTTTTTTCTCTCTCTTTCTCTTCCTGTTCTCGTTGCACTTGCTCTCTTCGTTTCACACCACCCACTGTTTCCGTCTACTTGCGGTATTACTCTGATTTCTGTCTGTCTTCTGTCTATCTTACCACTGGGATGACCTTAAATGATCATGGCAGTGGTGATGTACAGTGATCTTGACATATATATATACTGAAGACAGTTCGCCCACAGATCTCTATTGCCCCTGTCTCTGTTTCTTTTCATGTTTGCGGTCACCCCTGTCTCTGTTTCTTTTCATGTTTGCAGTCAAGAAAGTGGCTCTGAACAGGTGTTGTGTTTTCATGGCCTGCAGCCAATTGGATTCTTTATTGTGTGTCATTCTGTATCAGTTGATGGAGACAATTTTTACCCATAAATGTCTTCCAAAAGCATCAGTAAACAACAGCAGTGGACACGAGAGGAGGAGAAGTTCCAGCTACGTTTTGTCGCTGCAGCAGTCATACAGGGGTCACACTGGGGCAGCTGTCAGTGTGGAGGCCAATGGATGCTGGAACAGGTGCAGTATACAGTATATGTATGTGTGAATAAAAAGTGAGGGGAAAAATTCTAATGGTGGTATGATGTTTAAAGAGGGGCGTGGCTTAATTGTTAGCACTGTAAGTGTGCGTGTGCTTTTCTGACCTGTCTGCAGTCCACAGCAGATGATCATGTTTAAATGTTGTATTAATTGTGCGTGGTATGTTTCAGATTTATTCAATTGAAAATGTAAATGTGAAAATATTAATTTTCCTTGTGTACCACTAGAGAGAGCACCACTGGTGGTATGCGCACCACAGTCTGAGAACCTCTGACCTAAGAGATACCTCATGTAAGCATGAACATAAATATTTGCTTTTCCCCATCTTATCTCTCTCTATTTAATCTCCTGCAATCACTGGAAGGACATTTTTCCAAAGTGGAGCTGCTTTTTACCATTTTATTTCCATGCTGCAGCGTTGTTTTGCATACAGTTAGAGCGCAGCTCCGAACAGCAAATGCACACAGTACAGTCGGCAGGCCCTTTGAGGGAACGTTAGCACTACGTATATCTGCACATCTCATCTTTCACAAAGGGATGAAGTAAAGATTGACCAACCATATCTCATGGTCTTATTGCTCAGGCAATAAAACATTAGAATAAAAATGACCTCAAGTCGGTTTTAGCTTTGATTATCACGATGCATTTATAAACAACTTCTGCATCGCTAAGGACGATGTCATTGTCCAACACACTGAATTATTTTTCTTTAAATCAAAATTAATGTTGCTGTTCCATTAAAACATTAATAAAATGTGGGTTTCATAGCTGTAATAATGCTACAATTTAATGATTGACTGTTTTATTTGATGCCTTCTCAGTGTTTCTGCACTGACTTATCTGTGGTATTAATGTATAAGAACTGTTGAAATGCAGAGACCTGGTCCATGTGAATGGATGAGCGTGATAAGGCACGGCTAATGTGTTTTTAATGCAGTACAGTTTGTAGAACATTAGCCTCCTGACGTTCTTGGAGTGACCTCTATTGATATTTGCATGACAGGCTTCAGTTTCAGGCCATGTTTGTATTTGCTATGCAGAGTCCAGTGAAATCAGCTGGAGATGCGTTCAGTTGATTTTCCTCCTTAGTATACAATGTCAGTACAAACAATTAGACAAAGGCCAGCAGTTTGCTTTAACCCACTGTCGTTGTTCCCGAGCAGAATTCCCCTCCCAAAGAAGTACATACTTATGAAGGGATTTATATAAAAATTAGATGACAATATTAGAACAGTAGGGCTGACGTTGCTCCCAGTGTACACTGGTCAGAAAGTGCCATCATGCATGTGAAGTAACGTAAACACCACAGTTAATAAACGGCAAAGTTTGACATCTTTTCAGTGAGTGAGTTGAATGGCTGTGTAATCTCACTATACAATAGTGCACAAAGGAGTGGGGCAGGGGTGACAAAGATGAAAAAGGACTGATTTACCTAGCAGTTAAAGCTGTGGCTCCTCTGTGCTTGCTCCTGTTACTCAGACCGAGCCCTCTGTGTGGGGCCAGGGCTTGGTTGAGGGGCCAGACTTTGCATGTCAAGGGCCACTTGCCCGGATTCTCACTACCTGACATGCAAAATCAGTGGGGGACCAGTTAAAATGGCGCACGTCAACACAGGTGTACTCCAGTCAAAACACCGACTACACCCCTCTTAACCACCACCTCCATCACCACCTTACCCAAAGCTCTCAGTCCAACATTCACAGTGATCCAGGTAATACAGCAGCAGTAAGAGAACCAAAAGGATGCCAAGGTCTTTCCTGATCAAAAAGAAACAAGGTCCGTGTGGAGCCTGGCAGTGGAAAGAACCGGAACAACATGAGTGGAAAGAAGACGAGGCAGTCGGTAAGAATTTCAACTACTGCAAACGCTGGGTCGACAAGTTTGCTCCCTGCTTGATATAGATTTAATTGTTTAATTTACTCACTAACAACTGTTTTGTTTCTTCACCCAGACACTGAACATGTTAAGCAAAAGAACCAGTGCAGTACCGACAGTAAACAGACGGTCACTGTCTCTCAGCCTGGAGCCAGTATGGGACGTGAGACAGCAGCGAGGACGGAAATGTCTTTACTAGGGTCCGGAGAAAGACCGAGGACTGATGCCAGGCTGGACTGGTCCGCACTGATGGTCCGAAGCTCCTTCTATCATTCCAGTGGACTGGCAACCATCTCTAGAGCCAAGGTAAAGTCAGACATTTCTTCTCATTATTGTGTTTCCTGGGGATTTCACATTACAACTTGGGTCGCTTTAGATTACATAAAAAATACCACTTATAAGTAATAACTACTATAGCAAATGATAAATAGTTAGAGTAGTGGTAAACAGATTCCTACATAAAAATGAATTTTTAATATTTTTAACACATATTTCTAATGAACAGTTAAAGCATTTGACTAACATTTATTTTCCAACAAACAAAGGAAAATAATTCAATTTGATTTAATAATTGAATAAAGTAATATATATTTATAGCTCTTTTAAAAATATATTAGCTATATTTTGTCACGTTTTACCTGCTGTAGTTCATGACTTAAATCATGTAAAACAAGCATATTTTAAAATAATAAAAAATATAAAAAGTTAACATTACATTTTAAGAAATGCTTTTTCTATGACAAATATTACAAATCACATTATGTGGTTATTGTTTCTAACCTTTTCAGAATTCTTGTTCAGTTTGGTGTAGTATCATTTTGGCCTTTCTTCGCTCATTTCTCATTTCTCTCCACCAGCCTCGTCCACGTAATTCCCCAGGATCGGCTGACTTTGTTTGCTCAGTGTGCCACAAGATATTTCCTCTGCAGCGAATGTTGACTCGTCACCTGAAGTGTCACAGCCTGGTGAAGAGACACCCCTGTCGATACTGTGGCAAAGGATTCAACGACACGTTTGACCTCAAAAGGCATATGAGAACACACACAGGTGAGACGGGGGTGACTCGCACACACACAACCCCACAACACACACAGACACACTAAAGATTTGTGTGTCCATAAATTCAAATCTAGGCCACACTTTCTGCAGGTGAAATGTAGTCACGTTTTGTGTGACCTGCAGAGGGCGCTCCAAACGCGGTTCATATGCTCTGTGCATAAGTTATGAGCAGACTCAACACTGTATCTGGAGTTCAAACTTTTCATTATCAGCACTGCGACAACTCAGTAACCTGGATTTAGCTGAATAACTCGAACCACAAAAGGTTAGCAAAACCTCAGAGGAGTCAAACATATTTATGCCTAACCTAAATATATAAATATATCTGACCAAAAAAGCTAAATAAAAACAAAACTATACCAACCCCTTACAACTACAGTGTTTATATAACCTTGAATGAGAAGAAACTATATTTATTTTTGCAGTTGTTCTGCCTATCCCTATGGTACTTCAGGTTTTAAAAGCTGCTGCCACCTACTGGGTTTATGTAGCACTTGCACATTACTCCGTACTGTTAAAACACTGGAAACATGATGAAAATGTAAACCTTTGGTCTTAACTCACTTTTACATCAATGTTGGCCTCAGCTACAGAAATAAGAGTGGTCACTGTGCAGTAACCCTAAAAGATATTTTAACCAACAGGAAAACAAATGTCAAAGTGCTTCTACTCAAACATGTAGATGAATAAAGTCTCCATCTGCTGCAGGTATTCGTCCTTACAAGTGTGAACTGTGTGAAAAAGCCTTCACGCAGCGATGCTCCCTGGAGTCTCACATGAGGAAAATTCATGGCGTTCTTCAACAGTACGCCTATCGACAGAGACGTTCCAAGATCTTCGTGTGTGAGGACTGCGGCTTCACATCCGGCCGCCCTGATGAATACTTCCTCCATGTGAGGCAGTGCCACCCGGGCAGCCCTGCCCTCCGCAGATACTACCGCCGCCAGGCCCACGACGGCAGCAGCTTTCCATCAGCAGACTGTAAACTCAACCCCTATGTGCTGTACTCCAATCCTTCATACTACATGTAGGACATGTCAGGATTCACAGTACCATGTAATAAAGCTGCAGCAATACTGAAAATAAAGATATACATTTACAACAAGCTATATATATATATACATATATATACATATATATACATATATAGTATATGTAACATGGACTTTTTCTACATTTTATATGCTTTATATGTTATATATGAAATAAAAAAAAATCTTGTGCCTCTTAGGAAACGTATCACAAGTTCTCTATGACTGTTCTAAATGTTCTCAAATGTGAATAATAACTTGCTTTAAGTTCATTTTCTTTAGCGTTCATGACCACAACCACTTTGTATTATGTCCAGGGAAAACAAACACTTCAGTGACAATGACTACATCGCTACGAGAAGAGACACATTTTTTCAATTGACTAACATACAAACCACATCTATTGGGGTTCAAAGGGTTAAAAAGTTAGATAAAATATGGGAACAAAGTTAGATCTTAATGGTGGACGTGTTAGATTTGAGTGTGAGTGATGTACTGGGTACTGTTACCTTCACCAGATGACCACAAGGATCAGGTCCAGCACCACCGCGTCCCTAAAAAAAAAAAAAGTGGTAGAAGATGGATGAAATCATACAGTCATAGTTCAAAAGGTTCTAAATACCTGGCTCTGGGTTCCACAATTGTACCTGCTGTAGAGGAAAAAAGGGAATGCATTATTATTATTATTTTTAAATAATTGGATCAAAAATAAAACTAGTGAACAAATTTAAAAAATATTTATTTGGTACTTTGTACATTCCACATTAAGTTACAGCATTCTTCGTTATTTGAACCACTCCTCCTGTGGTTGTGTCTATTTATTTAGAAGTGCAAGTCGACATCATGCTAAAACACATTGTGACTGTGTATGAAAGCACTTTAGAAATTTCTGCTTAGTTTACCTTAAAATGGCAGTACTTAAGATAAATAAGAAGTATATGTTACACATGGATATAATGTATATCTGGTGCATGTGTCTTGATATGTTCATTTCCTGACAATGACAACGAGGGAGTAAACGAGGCAATCAACAGAAGCTGTCCTACAGTGGAGACTGATTGTTGATTGTATCTAGTAACAAACTGTTGTTGGACACTTTATGGAATCACTATATTCACTATTGTATAGTGGCATAACAAAGCAACTTTAGTGTTTTAGTGTTTTTTATATAAATATACAAACTCCCAAACTTTCATTGAATTTGTAAATTGAACAAAATGCTAAATTATTATAATTATGGACTGATAACTGAGGCAAGAATTATTTCAAATTAAATTTGAAATCAAATTTCAAATTAAATAGTACCATTAACCGATGTCATCTATGACATTATCTGGATTAATAATGTTTGGTGGTTGGTATAATAGTGTACATTTATTTGAAATAAATCTGAAATGATAAAGTGGTGGACTATAGCGATCTAACAAATTAGATTTATTATTGGAAATCATGTTATAATTCATTTCACCAGTCCGTTCTATTCACGCAGCACATCACACTGGAACAGTCGGCAGTGGTTCAGTACAGCATACACTAAAACTCTGTGATCACTACTGCAAAATGAAACAGGACAAACCAAACCAAGGTGCTGGAAAAATACCATCCCATTTGTTCATATAGCCTGACTGTTTGATCATATGGTAAGTTCTTAAACTTACATGTAAAGTGCCTGTTTGCTGTGATGTGGTGTAGTGAGAAAAATAAACCACTTAATTCTATATCTGTGCAGTGTCAGAGACAGGAATACTGAGTATATGTTAATATCTTCAGTAACTGTTAAGAACTTTATCAACTTTTGATAAGGTGTTGAATTTATAGTTTTCCTCTTTAAAGAGCCGTACACTTTAACAGAAATGTTTGGTATCACATTAAAGATTTTCTTGTTCTTTGTCAGTGTGCTCTGAAATCAGTGCATCTCGATTATAACGTTCAGTCTGGCGATCAGTTGAGGAAGGTCAGAAAATGTCTCCATCATTCTCCCTCTTCAGATCACAGCAGTCTGAATGACAACTCATTTTAACAAAGCTTTCATTTTTAAATATTCCCTCTGTAATGTTGTGCTCACAGATTGTTGTCCGAGTCTTTTTCGTTCTCGTGTTTTACTTCTTGTCCTCCTCTGAACTTTTTCTAGGCTGATGAGCAGGACGGAGAGAGAGAGAGAGAGGGATGAGCAGAGTGTCAGTCCGTCATCCTGCTGATATGGAACAAGTTCCAGGCATGTGCTTCCTGAAAATGCATTCAGGACAGTTCGTTAGAACAGCGTCTCCCCCAGGCCTCCACCTCCCCCCCTTCTGCACAAACCAGCAGGTACGACTCACTCATCACCCGTGGGAGGTGAACCTGTGGAATGAAACAGACCACGCCATCAAAACAGGCCGATTTACATTCACACAATAGAATCATTCGACAGTGTCTACCCATGGAACACGTTCCCACAGGAACTGATAACTGATCCTGACATAACACAACTTTTAGCCTTCATTTTAAAATAGCTCTGAATGTAAAGTACTTACTGCTAACAGAGTTGTTTAGGAAGTAAAGTTTTGGGCAATACTCTTCACCAAAATATAAATAAGCAATTCTTCTTCTTTCACTTAACGAAGGAAATTACCATTTACATAATGCATAATAATTATGCTAATAATAGTAATAATGATATAGATGATAATAATAATGTGGGATGTACAGTGTTATAGGTTAATGTGTTGCATCAAGAGCTCACTTGCATATTTGGTTTAATACCCACAGTACCACGACTGTCCACCAGGTGCTGTCCAGAAAAAATTACTATAAATACTAAAGTAATACTAAAGACAAATTAATATTGTGGATTTGGTATGTACCCTGTGAAACAGGAGCAGGTGGCGGTGAAGATGAATCACCAACGGATAATGACAAGCTGGGGGCGCACTCCTCCTCTGAAACAAAAGCAAGTCAGTCGGGAGAGCCCGGAGCAAACACAACAGAAACGCAACAAAGGCCAAACCCAGATGTCTAATGTCGACCCATCACTCTCTGTTCTGGCCTGACAACAACAATTATGCAAAGTTTCAACCGTAACATGCTCAGTATAAAAGTGCATTAAAAAAAGCTTACATCCCCGGGTGCTTCCACACAGTGAGCAGGCAGAGTAAGGGATACTGGGTAGAGATTCAAGTCTGCATTTGAAAGGAAGAGAAGGGAACATCAGAGCCTGTGTATCAGAGTGCAGGCGTTCAGCCCCGAGATGAACACAACCCGAAACACCCAGCGTACGATGGTGACTGAATACGTGCGGACAGAGTGAGGAGGTGTGACGCCGTTGACTGATGTGTTTACACAGACATGCATCAGGACGCTGCAGTAACAGGAAGTGTGGTTTTGATCGTTAGTCCAGCAGAACCTCCTACACTGTAACTTTAAAACAAAAAAACAAACAAAAATCCCCACATGACTCTGTATTGATTTATGGAAAAGGCCGTTCAAGTCCCTGCATACCCAGGCTATTCTTAGAGCGGGTATTTACCACCATGTCCTGCACAAGGCCTCCAGTATAAGCAGATGCTGCTGGGCCTGTGCAGCTCTGTGTTTATTCACAGCCGCTCAGATTATCTGGAACTCATTGCACCTCACGTTGGTGTTGTTTTTAGGAAACTCTGGGCTGTAAAGTATTGCTGTGGTTTAATGGATGGATTTGTCATTAGGTAATGTTTCTCAAATAGAAGAGGCTAAGTAGGAGTTTTCCCTTTGCAAAGTGAATTCAGTTTGAATGGCTGATGTGGTGTCACAGGTATTCTAACTAATTTCTATAGTAGTTTACACTGACTTTTGACATTTTTTAACTTTTATGTATGCAGTTAAATTGTGACTCCGCCCACTGCAGTGTGTAAATATAAATATACACCTAATCATGTTAACAGTGCTTTAAATATTTCTGGGCAAAATCCATGTGCATACACGTATTGAGCGTTCATATATGTATTGAAATCATTACCTGACAGTCGACACTGATCCTCGCCTGTGTCTGTGGGGACTCTCCACTCCTGCATCTCCTGCTTCAGCATCTCCATTTTCTTCTCCAGCTCAGAGTGTCTCTGCTCTGCTTCCTTCAGCCTGCTGAATGAAAAGGGAAGACTTGGTTTGTTAGTACATCATCAGTTTTAATGTACTTCTTGTACATGAACACAGAACACAGAAACTCTGTGCACTATGCACAACCAACATCAAAATGTACTTCTTTGAATGTAAATAAAACCTGACTGTGTTACCGCTGCAGGTCTTTATCAAGTACTGATAACTGCTCCGCTCCTCCCTCCTCCTCCTCCTCCTCTATCTCCTCAGTGGTAGTTTGCGTGGACGTGGAACAGGTACATCCTTGGCCCACAGTGAGCGGGGGCTCTAGTAAAGCAGACAGGGAGTCTGGCAGGGTATCTGTGAGATGCAACAGCTGGCTCTGAATTCAAACCACAGGTGAATTAGTCTCAAGTTGACCAACACCAGACAGACGACACTAGCCGACCGAGCGTTTGTATCTCGGCGTGCAGATGTCTCACCAGTTTCTGGGCTGTGTACAAACCACCGTACTCCCTCAGCCTGGTGTAGTCGATCTGCATCATGATGTCTTGACTGCGGTCCATGGCACCAGTCTGCCTAGGAAATGTAGAGTCCTCCACCTGTTAGCATCCTCATGGAGACCCAATGGAGGTTCTCCTCACACATCATGATGCTCATATTCACCTAGTGGCAGTGTAAGAATATCCCACAAAAGCCAAGTGTACTCCGATTGGTGCGCTGTGCAGTACATCCGACAGTGTCTCCTGCGGAACAGAACCTGCTGTTATCATTTAATCAGGATGTAATCAGTTACAGTCTTGCAAGAAAAAAATATTTTCCCATTCATGCAGTATAAAGGTATACTGGAAAATAAAAGACAAAAGGAAAAACCAACTGCGTCACTGAGACAGTCATCCAGGATGTCAAAGTTGGATGTATCTGTTGGATTAGAGACGTCAGGTAGGTACGGGGCAGAGATCTTATGCAGTGAACCCCAGTCTAGTCCAGAGAAGAACGGGTGGCTCCTGAAGTCGCCAAAACCTTTTCTCCCCAGACGGATTTCCCTGTCACAGATGAGTCCGGCGATGAATGAATGGGCCTTGTCTGATATCTGAGGTCCAGATGGAGGGAACTCAAAATATTCCTAAAAAATAAACAACAAACAATAAATGATTCATAATGTTTTCAATATGTTTTGAAGGCCTATACTAAGTAGTCATACTAAAAATAACCATGAATGAATTACCTTAAAGTGGATGATCTTGGCATAGGTTTCTGAGAGGGACTCGGCGTAGAAGGGTGTGGTTCCGAACATCATCTCATAGGCACAGACGCCCAGAGCCCACCAGTCACATTCAGGACCATAGCCCACCCCTCCTTCTAACGCTGCTAGAATCTCTGGAGACAAATAGTCTGGAGTTCCGACAGCTAGTGATGAGTGAACCTACGAAGAGATCATCGAAAATGAAGCCAAATTAAACATTGACTTTTATTATGTAATATTTATCACAGTGTTAGATATAGGTCTAATTAATTAATAGCATAACTATAATTTTTGTGATATTTGTATCAGATAAATTAGAAAAGAAATAAAAATCACATTTTGAAATCCAGTCGCGGGCCATATTGGTTGGTTTAGCAGGCCAAATTCAGCCCATGGGCCGCCACTTGATAAACACTGATTATAATTGCTACTACAAACAGTAGCTTTAAAGAGTAAGTAAATAAATTAAATCTCTCACCATCCCATCATCCAGCAGCCTGAGACAGGAACCAAAGTCCCCCAGTCTGATGTGTCCATCAGCAGTCAGCAGGATGTTGTCAGGTTTGATGTCTCTTTGTCAGGAACATTGTAGAAAACCATAAAAACTACCATGTTTTTATTTACAAGAAGAATGCACTGGAATATTGAGACTGGACTGAGGTTACAGTGTGATGGACATTTACCAACTTTAACCACTTTATAAACCACTTTATATGGCTGTGGGTGGGGGGTGGTTACGATAAAGGTTCTGCTCAGTTACTCTACCTGTGCACATAACCCAGTTTGTGGACAGAGTCAATGGCCATGACCATCTCAGCCAAGTAGAACTGAGCCATGTCTTCAGGGATCCTGTCTCCAAATTTACTAAGCAAGGTCAACAGGTCCCCCCCAACGTAGTAATCCATCACCAGGTACTAGGAGAGGGCAGAGAACGACAGTTAACATATTCATACCATTTTTAAAAGCTTCCTATAATACTGATTTAAAGCATCAGTCAAGTCAGACATCAAACATTAATCCTGCAGGTAGCCAACGCTGAGGCTAATGTGACTCCAGAACCACAGGTTGCAGACCCCTGGACTATGCTCTAACCCACAGTTGTCAAACTCAGGCCCGTGGGCCAAATCTGGCCCATGCTGTCATTATATTTGGCCTGTGAGATCATATGAAATGTCTATTAGAACCGGTCCGCCAGCACTATATTCCTCCGGGATGTAGTATTAGCGGTGTATGCAGGATATTATAGCACATACATTTTTGGTTGTTCTTTTGTTAACTCCAATGGCCAGAGACATAAGAATCAAATACTACTGATGTGTGTTTTATTTCAAATTTAATTTCTCATGTGTTTATAATATTAAGTTTTGGTTGTTCCAGATTCTATGTTTACGCGAAACTAGTTTGTTTCCATATGAAAAAATGTTCATATTAGATATTACATATCTGGAGAGAAGGGAAAAAATGAACAATTTTTTTAATAAATATTCAGTTTGGCCCGCATCTTCGTCCCATTTTAGTTTTGGCCCACTGTGAAATTGAGTTTGACAGGGTCTGCTCTAACCCAAAGATGTGCATCTGCCTTCAGTTTGTCAAATTCGGTGTGGTTAATACCGACCAGATAGTTGTCGTCCTGAAAGGCGTAGTGCAATTCTGTGATCCAGCGTCTGTCGCCCTTCAGTAGAACCTCCCTCTCCTCTTGGTAACACGCTGTCTGTGCAGGACAGAGACGGGGGATTAAAACCCACAACCAGAGCCACGCCAGTGTTTGCTGTACAGCACTGAGACTTGTCTGAGTCGGTACTGTGTGCACATGTGTTGGCGTGTACCTCTCCTCTCCTCAGCATGTCCCACTTGTTCATAATCTTCAGAGCGTACACTTGTTGCGTGCTTCGCATCCTGGCCACGGCGACCTGCAACGCCGGTGAGAGAGAATAACCACAGGGGGCAGCACATGCAGGGGCAGCACTTTAAAGCCCTTCATTCCTTAATGCCAGGCACAGTGAGTCATCTGAAATAAATTGATTCAGTGCAGTGTTGTGTATACAGTGTGCCCCGTGTAAAGAATGCTGTATATATACACTCTGTCTACTGTAGGACTCCAAAACATGCCTGCAGGCTCCTCGCTCCAGTATCTCTCCGCTCTGTCTGTCCTCTACTTTACTCTGTTGGGGAGCAGGCTTACGATCAGAAAAGTAATAGTTTTGTTTTTCACATTTTGAGAAAAAAAGATTTACAAACTGCTGTAAGTTAAGTTAGGACATCTACAAATACAACGAAAACTAAATCCCAATCTTTGCCTTTGTGGATGCACCGCAATGTGTGTTTTTTTACGTACTTTATATATATTTTAGCTCTCTTGTTTTGTTGTCAGTAACTTTAAACATGCTCGTGAAGAGATTTTGTTGTTGTTTTCTTCCATGTGAAAGTCCTACTTTTCAACTCCTTCTCTCCTAGTAATGCATGAAGTATTTGTGATTCTAAATCATAAAAAGATCAAGAGTTTAACTGTAGTGCTTTTTCAATCACAAAATTATAAATTGATACTTTTAAAAAACTCCAAAAAGGGAGACGGCGGCAGAGTGAGACATAAAAGATCACACAACGACCCTCAGGTTGAGACTCCTAGAGGTTAACAGGTAAACTGGTCACAGGTTTGGGTATTAGGAATATCAACCAAAGGCAAAAATGTACAGGATGGTGAAGGTACTTTCATTATGGCCAGGACTAGAGAGTGTACACACTGTAGCCACATATGAGTCTTGTTGAATTTTAGTATTTATTACAAACCTCAGGAATTGTACCACTACAAAATACATATCAGTATGTTGTACATTACTGCAAAAGGTCATTATTTACCTCACTGAACGTTCCTCGGCCAATCACCTTGAGAATGTGAAAGTCTTCTCTTTTGATCCGGGTCCTCTTTACCTGCCTCACCAAAGGTTCAGCTGAGATGGAGAGAAACAGAGACTGTGACTTTACTGGAAACACAAATACTCCCACCATATTGTTTACATTTGTCTTTATTCCTGGAGCTTGATCATGTTCTTTCTTGTTGCTCACACTGTGATTTTGGTTGAACAGAAGGTTCTTTTCACCATAAAGGGAGTTCCTCTTGAGCAGAACCATTCTCTGAATTGGAGGGCTGAAAATAGCCCTTATCATTTATGAATTACAGCAAGTTTTCCAGTCCTTTATTTTTATTTTCATTCCTGTCTACCTCACACACTGAGAGGAATTCAGTCCAGGCAGAAACACTGTCTATAAACTGCTGCGCCACACACTGGTTTTAAAAGTTTCCTGGAACAACAGGCAGTAATGGGAGAATGTTTAATCTCAGTGTTAATAGACTGATCCTGGAAACTTCTTTAGGATGGTTTTCAAGAAAAAGAGAACAGCATTTTGAATTTAATAAAAATGATTCCATTTTGTTATCTTCACACCATTGATACTTTTCAGTGTGAAGTAATCAAGGAAATGGACATTACTCTCTATCCTGTCATATCTGTTTCCTGCACCCGTGGTTTTCCAAAAGACAGATTTATGTTGATGGAACCAACTTTACTTTTTTTTGGAGGCGGGGCTTTTTCCGGGCTACTCTTGTTTTACATGTTTACACTACTAATTTGATCATTTCAAATATTTCAATTTCTGACATTTTTTAAGGCAAAGCACAAGTAAACACAGACCTATAACAAGAACAGTTTCCTGAAAGCTTTCCTCCAAGTTGTGTTTATTCTTTGCAACCACAGTAAATAATCTTCTAACCCCATTTGTCAAATGAACAATATAATACAGTCACATGCTTGACAACTTCTGTTAAATAAGGTCACAGAGTACTGTACGTGTCACTGACACCAGCTGAAGACTCTCCTGCTTCATCATCAGCAGCAGATCGTCAGCAGGGGAACGTTGACTTTCATGACCTCGTACTAATCTCCAGTTGCTTTTATGCTTCATCTCTGCTGGCTCACAATGCCGAGGCAGGTGTGTGTGTGTGTGTGTGTGGACACAGCTCAGCTCTAAACATAAGCTTGGCCTCCTGTACTCTCCACCGTCATGGTCATTTAACAGCTGTGACACAGCATACTTTTCCACTGAACACGTCGGCCTGGTCTCTTAAAAATAATCCACTGGTGTTGTAGTCATTTAAAGGAGGAGTCATTGGAATGCTTTGATAGAACATAATGCAATTACAATTTTTATTAGTAATGACCTTTTTCATTTTCTTTTTAAATCATTCTACTTTTTTAGTAGTAGTAGTAGTTTTTCTTTCGTTTTTTGTCAATGTAGGTCTCTGGTGATTTTTACATGCTTGGTACAAACAGAAATTTGACATTGAACTGTGTTTGACAATAAGCATATTGAATGTATTTCTCCAAACTTATTTTTAATTTTTAAGTTTAGTTCCTCAGACAATTCAACTAGAGCTCATCAAAAAAAAAAAAAAAAAAAAGCGAGGATCACTGAACCACCAAGGTGTGTTGTGTTAGTGTCAGGAAAAGCACAAACCTTCATCTAGTGCTGGCCATAGAAAGGGAATTATGAACCACAACTGCAGAGGTATTTTATCAGTGGAGGTGCAGCTGACTAAGACAGTGTTCAGCAGAAAGAAAGACTAGACACAAGGCAAGTGGGAGGGCTGTGTATACAAAGAAGGGCAGGTAGGCAGAGGATTTAAGAAGAAGAGAAAAAAAAAAAAAAGGGGGGGGGGGGGGGGGGGGGGATGTTATAGGAAGTGGTAGTACCAAGAAAATGGCACTATAAATGATAAACCATTTATTATTAACCTTAGTATAAAAGTAGTTTTTTATTTTCAGTTTTCTTCCTCTTTTGTGAGAAGGACTTTTGTCATGACTCCCTCCCCCATCTGACATCTTCACAGCTATTGCTTCAAAGCCACACTTAGGTTATTTAGAAACGTAATGTTTTACAAATAGATATGAAAACAGTTTGAAGACTTAAGCAGAGTCAAAATATTTAATATCATTTTCAACTTAAATGACCAAAAATATAGTGGAATCTGTGCTAAGAAAACTTTAAAAGTTAAATTAAAATTATACGTATATTTATGTATACATATCTTCAATCTCTTAAATTAAGGTGGCCAAGAAAGCTGGAATAAAAAGAGTCTTTAAGATGAGGCAAATTATTTAGATTTGCTTAGATCAGCACGTTATTAGGTTTCTCGCCAAACATCAACCACTGCTGCTTTAAAAACCACAGAAAATAGTTCCACTCGTAAGTTATTTGAACCAAAAGAAAATGATTTGGTCACAAATAAATGCTATCCAAGCAGTTCTTGTGCTCCATCTTTAATTATAGTAGTGGAAAACAGGCTTTTGGTTCAGAGTAAAGATACTTTCTACAATGAACCAACGTCAGGAATGTTAATCTGTTGCAGTTCAGTTTGACACATTTGAATCTACTTCATTCTTAGTCCAAACCAGTCTAAAAATATCTTCATAAAAACAACCACAGCTCCTGACCATCTAAAGATGTTGCTGTGGTTCCTAAATGTTTGCAGTGTTAATGAATAATCTTCTTCCCAGGAATCTTCCCAGGAATTAGAGCCAACCGGGTTTGATCTGATTATTCTTTCAGATGTGCTGTTTGGATCAACATTAGTATTTATACATCTATCTATCATCCATCCATCCATTCATCCATCTAAACATAGCAGTTATACTGTATGTCTGCCATGAAACAGAGTATCATGCAAACATGGAGCCAAACATAATTTTTTTTATGCTAAAATGTCAAGCTCACCTAAAATGGACTGAAAGGTCAAGTACTAGTCTGTTTATTGGAACCGTGACATAGATGAAAGAATGAAGCTTACAGTAGATAATGAATGTACAAAGACATCTGACTCTGGGTTAAGGGGTTCATGGACAAACTGCCTGAAAATCCTTCTATAAAAAAGTCTGACAACGTGATAAGAAGAAGTGGACGACTGGAGTGTGTTGAACATCTGAACAAAGACTGTCTTTCAAACATATGCAGCATCAGGTTCAGGGTCACAGTACATAACAGTACACAGAGTACTGTTATGTACTGTTGAAGTGATCCTATAATCACTACTTTATTCATATCGTTTGTATGTGGTTTGTATGTATTACTGACTGTTGATACCGTGCAGAATAAAATCCCACGTTAGAAGCTTCTAGCATCAGACACAAACATGCGAGGAAGAAAAAGAAAAAAAAAGAAACCACTCACCCCACTGCAGAAAACCACAGACATATTTCTCCTGTGCAAAGGGTGAGGAACAGAACTCCTGGTAGACGCCCACCAGCAGGTCCAGAAGGGTCTGCAGACCGACAGGTCCCGTCGTCTGGGGGCCCTCTGCCAGGCCAGGGGCCCCACGGCCGGGACCAGTCGACATGAGGGCCAGTGGGTACGTGTTGGTTCAGCGCTTTAACCCAACACTTGTGTCCATGGATCGTTGAACTGACTGCAGGCCAAGGTGGATCAGCTGTTACCTCACTGTTTGGTTTCCCTTGGAGAGTCACATTTACAGTCACACTCCTTCTGGCTGCACGCACGCTCACAGACACACACGGGGTCTGTGTGTTGGCACCTGACCCCACCCTGCCCCTCTGGTCCTGCCCTTTTCTCTATACCTGCTGCCTGTACGGGAGACTGTGTGTTTTCTGTGTCAACATCCTCTTCGTACAGATCACATTTCCTCTTCTGTTGTCACACTTTTTCCTCCCTCCTTTTGTCTTTATGAGTCACTTCCCCCGTCCCTCTGTCTGTCCATCTCTGTCGCTGCCGTCGCTGCCCTTCTACTGTGGCTCCCCATGGCTGTGCAGCATCTGTCAAGCCTGCACTTTCTCCAGCTCGGACTCAAGACCTTTTTTGGTGTTTAAGTCTCTCTCTCTCTTTTTCTCTCTCTCTCTCCCTTTCACTCTCTCTCTTTCTCTGACTCTTTCCACTCCCTCTATTCAAAGTACAACAAACTTTCTACTATAACAATGGGACCTGATGGTGGTGTGTGTGTGTGTGTGTGTGTGTGTGTGCTCTGAGACAGTTCCTATTTTCCTATTACCTTTACTGGTAACTCTGTTTTATTACCTTTCCATGTTTGCATATCTTCCTCTTTTTCTTTACTCACAAAGCAAACAGGAACTACTGCCGTGACTCAGAAGGAGCTCACACTCTAACATTCAGTCTGCTCTGAAATCCGTTGAACACCAGAAACTGTTGAAACTCTTCGTCACTCTCCGAGCATCATATCTTCCCTCCAAAGATGCAGCAAAGACGGGCTTTACGTTGGTTAAAGTCCTCTCTCTCCATCGGTCCAATCCTGTGCTCTCTCACTCACACTCTGGTCTCTGTCTCTCGCCCCCCCCCTCTCTTTCTGCTGTGACTTTGTGAGTGAACGGCCTCTTCCTCCTCTCTCAATATAAATATACCACAGCTGTCACACGGCACCGCCTTCAATTTCTGCTCTCTCCATTTCATGTTTTTTAACCTGTTTTTTCTGATTCAACCAAAATTATGTTAGAGTGGTGAAAATTTGGAATTTCTTTTATTTTTAATTAATCAATACAAATTCTCTCTTTTTAAAAATGTATAGAAGTGAACTTTATTGATGTTAAAACCTGGTGATGTTTGTTTTCATGTTGCTGCAAACAACAGCCGTACATTCCACCCTCATCACCCACACATACTGTACCATCAGAAACAAATCAGCGGCTCAATCAGAGGTGTCTGTGTCTCACACAGGTCTCGGAACGTCAAATGCACGAAAACGAAAAAAATAAAATAGATTTTATGCATGAGGTCCATATCACTGAAATCATCAGGGCAAATCTGCTGCTGGCGTTGTGTTCAACGCTGTCTCACTTCAGAGCTTTTCAGAGAGTCTGCAGAACAACAGCTTAAAATGAAGTCTGTGCCAATGATTTATCTCAAATGACCATTCAGGGATATGTCAGCACAGACGGCGCTTTTGGGCAACACTAAGGAAATCCTGACATGAACACACCCAGCATTTCACGACGGCCTACATTTAGAAACAGAAAATTGTCCTGTGAAATTTGATCAAACATTTCCATGTCACACACACATCGCCCACACTCACATACAGAACGCAGTATATATTTTGTATATTGTCAACATGGGCTGAGACCATTAAACAGCAACAGATGACATGAAAAAACACTGACATAGTTTAGCACCTCCTATTGGCTAGGATTAACATTGCTTCCTCAAAGAAAGATCTATCTATCTATCTATCTATCTATCTATCTATCTATCTATCTATCTATCTATCAAACCTAACCATGGTAAAAGAACAAAAATCCCAGGATTGTTAACTCAACTGTTCATCCAGAGGATTATGCCCTCTGCTGCTCCGAGCTCACGTGTAGAATCAAGGCTTTGCTGAAAATTGAAGGTGACTCTAAGCCTGTCAGCTCTTAAAGCAGGTTTACATGCTAGTCTCAGTGCGTCACTGAATCAAACAGTGCAGGAGGAGAAGGTAGAAATGCAGCAGGAGGAAGAGGAGTAGGAGAGGGATGAGGATTCAGTTTAGAGGAGGAGAGAGGAAAGCAGAGCAACTAACTTCAGAGAAATCACTTCCCTTGGAGATTTTTTTGTGGAAGAAGACATTTGGAACACATTTGATATTTCTCTTCTTGAAATCCCGGCGATGATGAGCTGCACTGCTTCCCACAGGTAAACAACACCACTAAAACCTGAAAAACTCAAGAACAGCCAGGAGTGTGTGTGTGTTTGTGGGTGTGAGTCCCACTGCAACAAACACAGCAATTACACATTCCCAGGCTTTGATGTAAAATTTGAACTAATTCTTTTTACCCTTAAAAAGGCAAGATATGCAGGATACAGCCAAGGTTAAAGCCACCACTACAAAAATACACATTGTGGAAAGTTAAAAAAAGTTATTAGCATTAAACAAAAATGAAACTGATTTTTGAAAAAACTAAATCCCAGTCAAATGATGCCAGAACTGTCCAGACTACTGTACAGTTTAATTTGTCAATTTCTTTTTCTTAAATCAGTCTCAAAACATAGAAGTATTTCAAGAGAAAGGTTTTTTAGTCATACTCACTGCCTAAACTGAACCACCTTAAAGCTGCTGTCAATAAATTCCTCTTGGTTTATCTTTAATCTAGATTAGCACACCTGTGTTAACCTTTTACTTTATGTCACAAACTCACAACACGTCTGTAGATGTGTCACATTGGTCCCCCAGCTGGGAGTCGCAAAAGTCTTGTACGGTGTCGCCAAAATGTCTTCATAAAGCTTTGGTGGAGGTTGGTTGGATAAAATAAACGTTTGATTCGACTGTTTTCCAGTATGAGCGACCATCACCGTCCAGTAGAATCTCAGATGGAGGAGAGTGCAGCTCAGAGACGAGGCAGCAGAGCCTATCAGGTAAAAACTTCTACCCAAGTCCCTTGACTCTGATACTGTGGCCTCTGCTGTTTGGCATCTTTTGTTTCGTAGTTTTTGTTTTCAAATGAACTTCTTGAATCTGTTCTGAGAATTTTTCTTTTTTTTTTTTCTTTTTAAAAATTAAAAAACAACCTGTGAAAATTAAAAACCAATCCATGGCATGTAAATCTGACCTGTGTCCAAAGCATCATAAGGTCAGGTTTTCAAACTTTAACTATTTCCAAACACCATTTCTGTATAAGATCTTTCCTGAGATCAACAGAGATGAAGAGTGCACCTCCTACTCTGAAGACTTCTTCTACAGACGGGAGCGACTCCCCTCTATTGTTGTTGAGCCCACTGAGCAGAGTGAGTGCCAGAGGGAGGAGTTCAATGAGGTGGAGGCTGAGGAGTACTGCAGTGAGGATCAGACAGAAGCCTCTGTGGACGGAGAGCAGCGGGACAAAGACAGGAGGATGGATGAAGGGTAGGGATAGTCCTACACCTCAACAGACCGTTAACAACTCAACTGATGTTCTTACTACAGTCTGTTCGCCCACTGGGCCTCGGGAACATCATGTCTTACTGCATGTGGCCAGTATCACTAATGAGATGCATTAGAATTTGTTAATAGGATGAAATGCAAATTTCCTAAAGAACCTAATCCTAATAAACTTCAATATCACTATGCATATAAATCCAGAAGAGGATGAAGTGTTGTTTCTCCCTCCATGGGTGAGGGTACTATAAATACTGGTTTAAAATCTGCCCTCACAGATTTCTGATTCTACAGTTTTTACAGATTTTCTACCTCCCTCTGTGACTTATGTCATAATCTGACTCTGTCTTTCCGTGTCCATTGTCCAGCTCTGTGAACAGGAAGTCTTCCATCAGTCCATCTGAAAGTCAACTGTCCCTGTCTCGGCTGTCTCCTCCTGCCTCTCCGACCCACCGTGAGACTGTCCCACCCAGTCCCAGAAGTTGAACCCTTCGTCTCCAGACCAAGTTACTGTTATGGATCATCTGTGCTCAAATGCTTCACCTTGCTGCTTCTGTGTCTGTCTGTGTCTGTGTCTGACTCAACCTGTAGGACTCCTCAGGTTGAATTCCTTCCCTAGTAACGCCACGCTCCTTCTACAGCACGTAAACACATGATGAACGACTATCAGAGTCAGTTTACCAAACCGTGAAGGCTTGGCGCAGTCCCAACAAGTCTGTTTTGGCCGTTACCGCAGTAATGAGAGCTCCAACCGGGTCATGGAATTACACCGTCATGACATTTGTGGACAGGCTGATCTAAGTACATCTCAATGAGTTACATCATTTTCATTCAACCAAAAACCACTATATACAATTCCATTCCTTGCACATCTTAATTCAAACTCCAGGACCACCCACACGTCTGAGGTGTTCATCATTTTTACAGCACCCAGGTGTTACTCTATATTCCGTCAGTCTGTTTTTATGAAGTTATGAAGTGTTATGGTGTCATAATTAAATTTGGGGAATTCCCCAATTGTGCACAAATAAAAAATAAACTCCACTTCTGGGAATAAGATTATACTTTCTACAAAATTAAGTTAACAATTAAATTAAAAACACAATTGCTGTTGTTGAATCTTGGCAAATAAATAATTGGGTCAAAGTCAATGTTGCTAAATATACTTGTTGTTGCAGTGAACAGTAAAAGTGTTTGGACCAATGTTTTGTAATTATTAAAATTTTAGAAAACTTTACAAGTGATAAATTGTTTGTATTTGTCTCGTCTTGCTGACATTGTTGCGTGTCTGATGATTTTTGTTGAAAAAATGTGCACCGGGGCATCAATAACATAATTGGTTTCATATTGTTTTCAAGGTCTGAAGACACAGGTTAGACAGGTAACCACAGCTGCTGTAAGCATAAATAATGAGTTACAAAAACTATCTTGCATTTGCAACAGTTGACCTCTAGGGGGGACTACAGCAACACTTAACAGTGACTTGTTGCAGCAGCAGTGAAAACGTTCACATATGACATGAAATACTGTGATGTTAATGTTCCAACGTTACAGCACAGTAACCACAGTAAATCGCCTATTCAGCAGTGTGGTGAGAGTGTGTGGCAGTCTGATTGGTGGAATTAAAATTCATGAAGGGAACACTTATCATGTGAGCTGATGTCAGTCACAGATTCAGTACAGGGACATGTTTTTCTCTTCATTCTCAACATTTAAATCCTGGAATTATGAAAAGGATATTAGACACAAGAAGAAGAAGTTAAATGTGGGGTAAATTATCCAGTGGTCCACGTAGGAGTCAGGGCCCGTGGTCAGACCATCACTCTGTTTATTTCACAAGTTACTCTAACCATGTGCAGTTGCTGTGTTGAAGGCCTCATTATGAGAGAGAAGATATACCCCCCCACACACACAATATTAATAAACGAGTTGTAAAACCAAATGGGGGATTTCTATTTTTATGACCACTAAAAAACCTGTTTTAAAGATTTTATGTTCACATTCCCTGCAGACGTACGTGTTGATGCCTCAGCAGAAAAAAAAAAAAAAAAAAAAAAAAAAACCAGCCTGGCTCTACACACACGTTCACCCACTGACAGGAACTCCTCAGAGATAAAGAGTGGATGAAGCGAGTGTCTGACATCCGCCGGGGTAACTAACAACACTGTGGAACGTGTGGCCGACGTCCAGTCTGAACTGTGCCCATGTTTAAGTAAAGGCTGGGCAGCTGCTGTGTGGAGTTACCGTGGGGCTCTCTGGCTCTGCCTCACATTCATCAGAGCTGAATTTAAACTTCAGGGGGAGGGGGACGAGCCCTGGGGAGAAACAGAGGTTGGCTGACATTGCCCAGGGATTTGTGAAACTATGCTGACACCGAGCCTCTCTCAATCCGCTAGTTTTCCACTCCTCGTCTCCTCTGACCGTCACGTCTCTTCCCTTCTTTGCTGTTTTTGTATTAAATGTAGACTAAACATCCCAGTCGACTGCTGTGGTCTACACGCAGTCAACGCTGTTGATGTATCCTCACTTTGAGGATGCATTCTTATAACAACCACAATTAGACCGTTCATAAACTTCGGTCTTTAAGTGTTCTCGTCCCAGGAGAATGAGCCGTGATGTTTCAGAGACGGCCGTGTGCTCTAAGCCGACAATCTCTACTCCTGTAATTTGCCCTCTCAAACCTCAAACAATAAAACTCTCGATGGACGTTCCTCCTTTTCATTAGCCCTAAAAGACTCGAGCAGACAAGCCACATGCACTCCTCGAATTTCACGATCCCTCAGCCACCGTTCATAACCTCATCACAATGTTGACTTTGTCGCATTTTCTACTCTGCGTCACGACACTTCCTTCGCTCCTGTCATGGAGATTATGGTTGACAAATGATACAGTTTAATGATAGGTTATAATAACAAGCTGCACCAGTGAACTGTGCAGTGCCATCTCTGCCATAGGAGAGTCACAGAGACATGAAGTCATGATTTGGGACTGATTTCATGCAGGTCAACACTGGATAAAGACATGACTTAAGAGGCTGATGGATCAGAGGTGCCAGAGTGGAAGGCAGCAGGCGGAGAATGTGTTCTGACTCGTGCATATTTGAGTAATGAACCAGCTGTGATTGCAGAAGTGTGAGGGGAAAAATACAAAACGATGCAGAAGG